GTTGTCGTCACAGAATCGCGTTCTTAAGAAAAAAAGAAGGATACAGATATACTGCTTTCATACTGAAGACAATAGGCAGTTGTTCATAGAAACATAGTTTACAGTACAACAAACCTTTCTTCAGTAAAATCATGCACTGACAGTCTATCTGGAAACAATCAGATATGTGAATATACTCACTATGACTTGAGATATCATCCCAGCGTGCAATGGACGTACATTGTAACGCAGTCGGACGTGGCGAATAAAAATTAAAAACAGAGCAAAAATAACTACATAATCTAGTTAGTTAATTAAAAATACATTGTGAAATGACAAAATCTGTGGTTACTTGAACGCACAGATGACAGTGTGCGATACATTAAGTTTACATGGTTGCGTTGCGGATAAGATCACCCGATATTTCTGTCAGATAAGCATGATTAGGATTGCTGAGTTCACGTAGCTCATCCATTTTATTCGGTAAACTCGCGCAGTTCATGTATGAGCACTTTGTGCTTTCAGTCTGAAACGCGTGAGCTTCTCTGTCCTGTTTGTCTGTATGAGCCTTACGTCAATGGACAGGTAGCCTACCTATACAAGGTTTTCTGAGTTTATAGCTTCTGTCCTTTTCACGTTTTTTTATGATCAAGACAGTCCACAAGTGGGGTGGTCAGCTCCAACTTGCCTTCATGTTTAATCCTGACGTCATATGGAATATCCAGATGCATATGGGTTCCAGTTGGCAACCGACGTCTGTTGGTACGAGATGCTTCCAGAGTTGTAGCCACCATATGAGAGGATGGGTAAATAATCTTCATTAACCGGGGTCTAGAACCTCCGTTCTTCTTCGCCAGTTTCATCACTTGTTGAATCAGTATGTTTTTGAGCTTCAAGGATTGCTTAATGAATTTCCATTTCCTGATACACTTTGCACAGTGATATTTCTTCCAAGGAAAAACTCGTGAGATTTGTTAGGGATGTTCCAGATGAGATTGAGCTCAGAATACGGTATATCAAACAGTAATCTTACTTTCCCATTTGGTTTCAGTAAGTGACTAGCTACTAGGATATCCTTGACGTCGGTAGCACTAGTGAGTGTTACACGAAGTAGCCTCGATTGATCTTGATGCCTCAAATCGCTTCCCAGAGTGAGCCGTGTGACCGTCAAAGGCTATATTCTAAGAAATTCGAGTTTCTCGTTCAACTCTTTCAGGAGCATCCTATCATGTTTGCCCTGCAAACTGAGGAGAAGGTTAGGGTTGCCTTAAGGGTTCATGATTATGAGGGAATCATCACGAACCTTTATTGTTTTCCCAGGCTTTCGGTTGCTTTCAGGTTGAGGACCTCGTTGTTTTGAGGTTGAAGGGCGTTTCCGATTTCTAGGCTCCTCGGTGACTCGACGGAGATGCTTAGGGTAGACAAAATGTCCGAATTCAGCACTGTTTTGTGGTTAAAATATTTGTTAAATGGATTTGTTCCTCAGTCTTCTGTAGTAAGGATGATGGGTTGGTGAAAATGCGTTAACCCTGACAGATTGCCCTTCAATGAGGGTTCAGCTTCTCCTTGAAAATATTCGCTGATGGGGCTGATACAACTTGCTCGAGTAAGATGTTCCAGTCATTGACTACTCGATGGAAAAACGGGAGGCCACCTTAAGTTTATTAAATCTCGGTTTCCAAGGAATCGAACTTCTTAAACTTGCCCAGCTTCAAAAAGAAGACACTGATCTTCAGCACGAGTTATGTCAATAACCCTAAAACTGCGCATTAAACAGATGGGAACAGGTAAGGAAACCTTACTATGTGACACATCTACAGGTAGGGATTACACAATCGTGCCGAAAATTTATCGACGCAACGTCTTCAATACGTTGCACAAACTTTCGCATCCAGGTGTTCGTGCAACCATCAAGCTCATAGCAGAACAGTTTTGCTGGTCTGTTATGAATAAAGACGTGAGGGAACGGGCACGCTCCTGTGTAAGCTGCTAAAAGTCTAAGATTATTAGACACAACAAATGTCCCTTAGGCTCTTTCAAAACTCCAGATGCTCGTTTCGACCATGTTCATCTGGATTTGGTAGGACCTTTACCAGATTTAAATGGATACTCTTATCTCTTAACCTGCGTAGACCGTTTCACTCGATGGCCAGAAGCAGTACCTATCAAGGACATCACTGCTGAAACAGTGGCCCGCACCTTCGTCGAACGATGGGTAGCGAACTTCGGCTACCCTTCAACCATCACTACAGACCGCGGACGTCAGTTCGAATTTGAACTTTTCCGTTGTCTGACCGCACTATTAGGTAACACTCACTTCCGAACGACTGCCTACCACCCACAAACAGACGGGTTAGTAGAACGCTTTCACTGACAACTAAGAGCTCCACTATCAGCTGCAAACATTTCTCAGTGGAGTGACGCTCTTCGACTCGTCTTACTAGGTATCCGCAATGCAGTGAAAGCTGACATTGGATACACTGCAGCTCAACTCGTTTATGGAACGACACTTCGACTTACAGGAGAATTCGAGGATTCGTCATCTTCAATGAACATGAATCTAACCTCCTACACGAACAGGCTTACAAGCGCAATGCGTTCAGTTAAACCTGTTTCCACTCGACCGCAATCAACCGGTGTTTTCGTTTAACCTGACTTACTATATAATACACACGTCTTCGTTCGTCGAGACTCACATCGACGACCTCTCGAATCAGCGTACGAAGGACCTTTCAAAGGTGTTCAACGCGGACCCAAGTACTGCATAGTCAATAAGGACGGAACCAACGATAACATCAGTATCGATTGGCTGAAAGCTGCGTATTTAGAAGGAAATCCTATCCACGTCGATTTTCCTTCGGTACAATCGAACGACACGGCTCCGATACTTATAATACCTCATCCGACAGCCAACACGCACGATGATACTTCGATAGTATCTAAAAATAAACTTAAAACAACGCGTTCTGGAAGAAGAGTAAGATTTCCAGAACATTTAAACGACTATTGCACGCAAGACAGTAGTTAACATTTGCTTCATCTCCATTTTCCATGGCATGATATATAATATTAAAAAATAAATTTTTATATGCTTATATTTATGTATATTTATTATGTTGCTAATATGGATACTAAAAAAATTTTTTTAAACAAAGAAAAATTTTGCAAAAATCATTTTTACGCCATTTTCCTTTTTCGCCCACTTTGTGTCTTAACGCGCGTACGAGTTTATTTCGACATGCACCTACATATTATTTTTTTGCCGGACGACTGGAAAAGACGAGAAAAAGAACGATGAGGTTTACGAGGAACCAAAATTTTCATTGTACGTTATTTTTTTCACCATATTGTAATTCATGTTCTCCTACAGTAAGGAGAGATGACCAGACGCTGCTAAATCTAGCAAGCTATCAGAAGAATATTCACCAACGACAAATTCGTTGGCTTTGAACTTCTGGCTGGCCACGTCTTAGGGTAATCACTATCTGTAGTGGTAAATAAATCCCCAAAGTAAATAGCTCTTTAATTGTTCGACATTGGATGCTGACCACATTAGTTTCACTGGACTGACCTAGCTGAAGGCTCTCGGTCATGCATCCGCACCAGATCACGAGTGGAAACGCCGTGCTCGACAACCCCTGCAATCTCTAGTCAGATTGGATCAGAGGACCCTCGATATATTGATAACCTATCAAATATATCTTCGAAACTCCTCGCTTCTGTCTTTTGATTTCACTTGGTGGATACGCTTCATATAAGAAAGTGTTACTGGTTAAAACGTTGTCAAACTCCGAATACTTGTGGCATCTTCAACATATTAACACCCAAATCATAATTAAAGATACGAAGTGCCAGTATGAGGTCACATCGTGTCCTACGATACGACAAATTGAAAAGTTTTAGGTGTTTTAAGTGCTAATCGTAAGGGAGTTTAGAAAGACCCTTCAGTAATTTTGTTCTTACACGCTGAACACGCTCAGGTGAGTTAGTATTCTTTATCGGACATGGGCTAACTGCTTGGGTATAGTACTCTAAGTGTGGTCTTATATATGGGGTATAAAATTCGAAACACCTCCTCATCAAGACATTTGAGTACTCGGCAAAGGGACCATAACGCATGATAGCCCTCAGCAAATGCTTCCTTGCAATGCGTAGTTGTTTTCAAGTCATGACTTATTATTACTACTAAGTCTTTATGTTTTTGCACGCGTGGACGAGATGTACCATCAATAGTCTAATGGTAACTATTACCATGTTTGATGAGCGTCACCACATTACTTCTAGAATTAGCTTCTAAGCCCCAACCTCGAGCCCATCTAACCAATTCGTCTAAGTCGGCTTGGAGATAAAAATTATCAGCCTCACTTTTATTGTTCGCCAGATTTTTGCATCATCCACAACAGTGATAATTTACTAATGTAGAGAAGGAAGAGTAGAGGGCCTCAGATGGTACCTTGGGGTACAGAACGTTTGACCGGCCTCCATTCGGATAGCGTTCCACTGACCCTCATATTCTGTCTGCTGTCACATAATAAATTTCCCATCCATTCTTGTACAGCAACTGTCATTCCGAAACTGGAGAGCTTCTGCATAAGACTCAAGTGTGATACCTTGCCAAATGCTTTGCTAAAATATATGAATATAACATCGATAGACAGACCGTTATCTAGGGCTTCTGTCCAGTTCTCTCTCACAATATGTTAGTCAAGCATGAACTCCTGTTATGAAATCCATGTTCTTTGGGAGTCAACAGATTGTGGGGATCTATGTGACTCAGCAAATTAACCCGAATTATCTTTTCAAGTAACTTAAAGACTATGCTGGATAGACTAGCAGGTCGGTAGTTATATACGATCTGTCTCGGATCATTCTTAAATATTTGTCATTCACTATATGATCGACAATACCTAGATTATCAGTGAAACTTTAGGGACTATGAGTGGGTTTCAATAAGTTATTTGATCTAAAGATTGATACTTATCGGCTGACCTACAATATCCATTACGATAGATTGAAAACATTTAGATTGAAACATTGTGTGTCTTTTAAGTTTGTACGCTACGTCCTATGGCAAATATTCCGCGTTTTGGGGTTTCTGCTAAGTATAGAGGAAAAGGTGAACTAAAAATTATAATCTTGATCTTCCATTTAGTTGATGCTGAAGAGACTAACACGACTAAGAGCGGTTCACGTTATTTTTCCGGTTCATCAACGAACTCCCATACAGGTAGTTCTCGGGCTGAAGATGTTAGTCGATCAGACAGTGTTTACAGCTCGGTGAGATATTCATCATTGGTCTCTTTGTTACCTTTGACTTTTTGTCTGTATAACGAGAGAAAACCATATGATATGTGCAAGTGAACAGTATAAATGCTTTTCTGGAAGTTAATCTAATATGTTGATTTGTCGTTTCGTTCTCGCAAGTGCTTGCCTTAAAAGTTAGTAACGACCAATTCATCAAACTCGAGTGATCTCATAATTTTTCAGTCGGCTTCAGTAAATATTAGAATGACATCTGATAAATTCGAGGTTTTTGTCAATATTAACTAGTCATCGAAACCCGTTAAGGGCTGTAGCTTGGCATCCTACCCTCAAAATTAGTTTGCTGGTTCATGTGTCTACAGATCGAGTGCACTTAGGTAGCAATTCATGGGTATACACTAAGGCTCTTTAACTATTTGAATCAGGTTTACAGGACTGCGGTGGCTGACCCAGTGATATGGTTATCTTAAGAGCTAAAAACGTTTAATTGAACGAATTTTCGCCTTTCATCTTAGTGTTGCAGCTACTGGAGGGATAGTATTAACCACAACGTCCAACTTAAGTGATGGTTTTTTCGGGTATCTATCATACATTCACTTCATTTTCTTATACTTCAAATGATGAAAGTACAAAATCGTTCTCCTTCTTTTTGTGCTTCATTCATAAAACCATTAGTCAGCTTAATGGTCTGTCTATATCCATCAACTTGCTCTTTTGAAGTTGATTTCCATGCACAGGTAAAATGAACGATAGAGTTAGGTTTTTCGAACGAGTTCATAACCCACTACTGACTATGCACCACTTACTATCTGACGAAAATTGCATGAACATGGAAGACAGCACTGACCATTAGCATATACTCTGGTAACTTTTATCTAAATTAATTATAACATCTTGGGTGTGTCGTTAGGGAGATTATGGGTCTGAATGACTTCAGTCACTAATAGTTAGTCAAATATAATGTCAGCGTACTCTATACTTTTATTTCGTCCTAGAAATCAAGCCGACGTCGTAAGTGCAGCGAAGCCAGTCTTATTTTGTCTGTCTACTCGAATGTCTTTACAATTAGTTTCTGATATTTATCGCATTTGTTTATATCTTTGAATTTTCAAGTAAAACATCATTTTCGAGACAAAAACACAGAAGCTAAGGGTTTCATTTAGAGGAATCATATAGCGTACCCATTCCCAATAGACCCTCGAAACTGGCTTATGCGTAGTAGAACTAAGTTTATGTTCCAACTCTTTAATCACTAATTTTGATCAATTATAAGTTGATGATTAAATGAGGACTTTCTCTAACTTGATTTTCATGTGCTGCCAGTCTTTGTCACCTCATCAAATTAGGGAATTACAAGCCTGTTATTTTTTACTATTTAGTTTAGTTGTTTCTGACATTATGTATTGATACCCAAAATCACTTACAATGACATGAATGTTTGCGCTTTATCTTGTGAACATTTCGTAATTATTTACTTTCTGTTTCTGTATATCATTCGTTTTTCGGTGTATTTTTTGTTTCTCCTGTACTACTGTTGTCACGTATTTTTTATCTATTAGTTTTTTTCTTACTGATCTCTTGTTGAAATGAGATTTAGAGGCTTAGACTGGTAAACATTTTTCTAGGTCTGAGTTGTTATCATAAACAATATGGTTTTGTGGTTCATAATATTATATTAGTTTATTTCAAACAGAAGTTTTACAGATTAGCTGTAAGGATGTGTGATGATACTTTTTCGTAGGGAAGTTCCTGTGGTCATTTTATCTCACTATTTATAGGTCGCGTTATTAAATTTAGATGGAGTTTTGTAGTTTTTAGCAAAAATCCTCTAGGGAAGGATCTCTCGGGTCCAATTTCGTCTTATTTTTTGGAAAGACGATGAAACATATCCTTAAGCTAAGTACTCATAATAATTTATTTGAAGTCAAATATTTATAATCCGTATTTAGTTATGATTATGTGTGATAAGGTTTACAATGACTTACTTATCGAATATAGTAATAATCAGGTATAAATGGATAGACGGAAGCATTTTATTCTTATCCACGAATTGGAAAAGGAAGTCCCATAATGTCGCCCATGAATCATAGAAAATTGATAACGATTAGTAATTATAAGAAAGGAAGGATCTAAAAGACTTGTCAGTCATTCAAACGCAAGGTAGAATTTGGCACGTGTACATGGGTCCAGGTTGCTACATCTTATTAGCTTTGTGAAATGAAATCGGGGTAAATCCAGTGGTAGTAGGGGTAGTAAGTGTTAATGGCAATACAAAAGATCAGGCATCCAAGATACACTTCAAGAGAATATGGGTTTAGTAGAAATAAAAATGTTTCACAAGGCAACATAGAAATCCAAGTTCCACGTAAGGACGGAGTAAATGTACCTGCGTCATTTTGAGCGATTCTGAGCAATGAGACCCAGTCTCTGACCACTAATTACAAATTTTATCGGACCCTAACCGGGTAGTCCGAACTTATGTACATGACCTAGTCCAACACGATCTCCATGAAGTGATGCAAAATTTAGTTTGATCACTCATAGTATCCTTCCGATCAACTACTAAACTAGCCGTCATCGTGCATTGAGGCAGTCAGTGGATGAGCATACGTAATCCATGTCCTAACCGTCTCACTCAAAAAATATTTATTACCTTGTCAATCGATCTGTCATACCTAACTAGCACTCCGCGTCTAACTTCAGGACTGCTAACTCGATGGTCGCAGCATATATGAACGTCTTCACCAAACTAGGCTAGAACGATCGTAACTTTGTATAATTGGAAACTACCACTTTCCCATCACTAATAGGCTGATAATGTTGCAGAAAGGTGGTGGTATTTTAAGCTATGTTCACAAAAGGAACGAAAATGGCGAGATTCTTTTTGCACACATTTTGGATTCCCCTACGTGCATAACAGGCTTCAAGAATGCAAAAGTGACAGAACCTCACTACCTTTTGAAAACCTATGTTGACGTTGTAGATAACTTTAAATAATCGGCCTGTTTTGCGTGAATGATTTATTCTCTCGATGTATTCCATCATTGCTCTTCTTTTGTAACCATACACAACAATGTTTCTGAACCCCCATCCAGAACACAGATGACTGGTTTATCGAGTTCTATAAGAACAGGGGGATTGATAAGTGGACATTGGAGTAGTCAGATGCAAGAGCTCGTCTTTTATTTCATTGAAGGATCTTGGCTTCAAAGTTACTGCAAAAAGCGTTTTAGAGGGATTTGTAATGCTATTCTTTAGGATTTCTGCAGTATTGTCACGTTTAAAGTTAACGCTTATGTTGAGCGCATGTTTCAGTACATAGATAACTTATTTTCTAGATTCTGTACTTTTGTTGACAAATTCTGATGAATAACTACTTTCGGCCGGTATTTTCTAAACAGCGCTAGCTTTTCTACGACCTCAAGATAGCAGACTTTACGGATCCATATAGCGAGAGGTGTAGTCGAATTATTCCCCATATCGGTTGAGACTTAGGTATAAAAGATTGCTTAGTGATCTTTCCATCCAGGTCTTCTGTAGATTGCTCTGTGTAAAAATCCTTCACGTTTCTTTATCACCTCATAGCATCTAGAAAGTTGATGTTCTGTCTGTTTTTCACTCTATAAGTAAGTTTAATTGCTAGTTGAAAGCTGTTGAACATCTAAAAAAAATACAATTCAGGTTGCACATCGTAAATAATCGTAGCATCATCTACGTACATTTTGTATGGATGAAAATCGCCGATAGTGGGTTTCAGCTGGCATTTTTTCAGAATAGCCATAAGCCAGATTGCTAGCAATGAACCTAAAAGAAAACCTTTGATAGTCTTTTTCAATTGTGTGGATAAGTACAACATGCTTCTGAAGGTTTTCTCGTTTTCGTCCCGCCTTTATTTTTGGCAAGTAGTAACTCTTAGCAAACTTATTATGGATTGTCGTTGTCTAAATAGTATATATACACAATTGTACAACTGAGATTAAATCCTCAAGGGATAGATCGCTTGGCTGAAGAATTTCCGTTTTTATCTTCCTCACTACTTTTTTTCTGTGCATTCAAAACGCCGTTGAACTTAAAGAAAGTGATGCTAAGCCCAAATAATAGTTGAACTTTTAATACGACGGGACGAATTATTACAGTTGTGGTACATTTTAGAATTCTCGACTGTGTTGTGTTCTGCGTTCATCAAAATGTCCAACCCATCTCAAGAAGTAAGGCTTTCACGTCAAAATCATATCGTTCATCATTTATTACTTGTTTGTTGTCTAGTAAGTGTTTTTACTTAGTTTTTAGTTCGTTTAAACCCTCTCTAGAGATATTACACAAATTTATCTTTTATAATACTTTAACTATCAGCAAACCTAACAAGATAAAATTCCTTTGTCAACTAATATGGGATTGTAAGTAGACTTTCTTGTAAATAACAACCATCTTGCACAAGCGATCCACAATTTTTCAAAAATAAGGTCTTTCTGTGTTGCACTTGATATTATTTTTATTAAACCTCTCAAGCAGTTAGAGTTCATCCTCAACTATTAATTGTTCATTTTTACATGAAAAGAGCTGCTCTAAAAAATGAAATGTATAGCTAATTCATCTTATGATGCTTTTGCAAATAATAATATTTATTTCGAATAGTAAGGTGGATTAACGTGTTGCGCGATAATTTAACCCCCGTGAGTTACGTTAACTTAAACAAGCTTTGTCATAGCGAACCAATATATAAAGACAAGTAGTACATCAATCATTTCATCATTTACATTTGTGCGTGGTGCATCCACATGTCATGAAACACTCTTCTAAGTGTAGCCAATCAGTTTCTAGCTAAAAAACCTGTTGTGAATATTAATGAGATTAGACTATTTACCATTTTCACACACATCATAATCATATTCATTCTTACTACTTTTCTCATGTTTCAACCACCAGAAGACAATCATTCTTTCGTTTCTCTATCAAGCATACAATCGAGAGCGTCCACTCTAACCAATAATTCACGTAGAAGAAACAAGTTTCCTCATCGTATTATTGATAATTTTCAAAAATGGGCTTTTAAATCGTCCAGTCAAAAAACGTCTCACACTTCAAGTATATCTTCATTAAACTCAAGTCGTTTACCAAATGATAACGAATTAAGTGACAGCTGTGACTTAACTTCTTTCACCATATCTGAACGTGAAGAAAGCATTGTTTCCGAAGTAATTCGTAACCGTAAGCAACTAGAATCCTTGGTTTGTGGTCATTCTGATTTTGTTCGCAATCACGACTCATTATCTATCGATCCAGGTATAGTTGTAGTTCTCTCTAACCATCTTAGGCGTTGTTCACTGTTATATATCGGCTTTGGAAATGGCTGAACTGGAATTACGAAGCCAAGTTCCTTTAGATTCAAATGGAATGTTTAAAATGGAACAAGTTAATCATTCCAAGAATAATCTGGGTCGGATACTGAGCGTTCGTAACCCATATCGAAGAATGAGACTACTTAGCCCCTCCCATGTGTTTTGGCTCCAAATGGAAGAATTCCGAACTCAGTAAGGTGTAACAAGTTACCAAATCAATATTTTTATTTACTATAACTATTATTATAAATTATGAATTTTTTCTTTTTCGCAATAGAATATTGAAGAAGATGCGCGACTGGGGTTTGCAAATCTACCTGAACAGATGCACAGGAAAGCTGTCAAGAAGGGCTTCAATTTCACTTTGATGGTTGTCGGTGAGTTAATTTAATCCGGCACTTGCGGTTTCCACACCTTATGACAAGGATATTTCTCATGAATTTAATATTGGGTTGAATAGCTTTTTCATGTTTAGCCTTCATAACAATTGACTGTGTTCATTTTAATCTGTAAAATTAACTTACAATCAAAGTTATCTACTCACTCACTGCACAATCAACATATCTTTTTACACATCTACGGTTACATTTATCGTCAGTATCATATTTCGGTATAGTCTTGTTAGTGAGTCTCAATTGATATCTTTACATCACCTCTTTAACTATTAACGAACACTTTAGGATCTCAAAAAATACTTGTTAGCGTTGTTTTAAACCATACACCTAGCTAACACATTATTTTGTATTGATTCGAAGACATCAGCTGTTATTTTGGAGGGGGTTAATGGACGAATTTCTTGTTTTTAAAACAAATGAATAGAATATTCGTCGTGTAGATGATGTGGAATAATAGAACGTGACCGATTGTTGGTTGCTCATGAGACCAGATTATTGACTCAGTCTCCTGAATGAACGGATATAAAATACAAGACCACAGATATAGAAGTCTTGAACACAACAATAAATATGATTAGACGTTAAGACATTCAACTTTCAATCACTCCGTCCACTTCTGTTTAGGGTAAACGCATTTACAAGATGCTGCTAGCCACCTAATAGTTAACTCTCAGTTTTCACTCTTTAAATAAATTCATCTCCTACCCAGAGATTTAATACCTTGAGGTACAATGACAACACAGACCTGTTTGTTAAAGATATAATTTGATGATACAGAAATATTTCATCAATTTCAGTGGATTGATAGGAAATAAACTGTCGAAACACTCACTTGACTTTTGTAAATATAAGATCCCAAAGATTTAGCGAAGATGTCCATCTACCCATTGAACCATGGCAGATAGGTCTGTAAACTTTAATCTGCTTAAGTAATCAGAAGATATTATTTCGCACGACTAATCATCGTCTTCTGGTTAACGTACACTTTAATTAAAGAAAGGTTTTCTATCAACCACTAACTCCACTGACTTTCAATGTTAGCTGGTCGATGTGTCGAGTTTAACCGTACAGGTCTGTCAAGCAACTGTAGTCAGTGGGATATGAATCGAAATCGGTTATAGTGGTCAGATTCACACACTTTTAATCTTTAGCGTTTAAACTTGTTATTCTACAGACCCCCTTCTCTCTAGCCTTGTCTCTTTTTCATTTGCATTCTCAGTTTTCCAGTGGCATTGGTATGACTATTTTCATTTATCTGCCTTTCTCCTCTTGATTTTCCATTATAACACCCGTAATATGTACTCATTTTTACCAAGTTTTTACTTTATTCGTGTATCTATCTAATTTATACCATTTTTATACCCTTTGAAACCTATAATTATCGCATTTTTATGTTACTGTTATATGGTGACTGACATAAATTAATTTGATTGATTTCTAAATGCTGCTCTCAGGTGAAAGTGGTTTGGGCAAATCAACGCTAATTAACAGCTTGTTTGTCCAAGATTTATACAAAGATAGAGAAATCATTGAAGCAAATAATCGTGTTCAAAGCACAACTCAAATTGAAAAACGTCAAATTGAATTGGATGAGCGTGGAGTCAAGTTACGCCTTACTGTTGTCGATACTCCCGGCTTTGGTGATGCTGTGAATTGCAATGACTGGTAAGTTTATCATGTATATAATCTTAGTTTACTTCTATGTCAAACTCTTAACGTTAGTATAATAGAATATGTGATACTTTTTTTGATGCTACCGCCATACTATTATTTCGTTAAATTAAATAATATTTAGTGACTGACAACTTGATTTTTTCTTTCTCATATTATTTTCTTTCTATAATATCAAGTTTAAGAACTTTCATTATAGACTAAGATTAGCTAGAAAAGTGCATATATCAAGCAGTGCTAGACTGTTCTTTCATCCTAATTCCAGACGTTAATCGGTGGATACTCACAACCCATATTCGACCGAACTCAAAGCCTTTATGCCTCATGGATATCACAACTACCAAGTCCAACCTATATTATACAGGCAACAGAATTTCACGAAAGTTTAGAAAATCCATGTCCATACACTAGTAAATACGTAATTATTTAGTATGTTCCTCTGTGGAAATTTTCTGAAAGTTAAGCTTCATGATATGCTGAAATCAGCCGGTAAACTCATTGTATTTTTCCTAATGCTGAGAAGTCTAAAACTCAGATAAGTCGATTCTCCGCTGTTCTTCCTGGTTTTCATTACTTATCTAGATAATATCAATCTGTAAAATTTTTCCATAAACAATGTATCTAAATGTAAGTTTTAAAATTGTGTAGGGTTCGTTAAAATATAATAATAATATTATATATCATTTCATCCAAATAATTTTAATACTTTTGGTAAGTAACTAGATTTCCAGGGGTTGAACTTCTACCGGGAGGTTCACTTGTTGACTTAGAATATGCTGATAACATAGTTTTATTTGGTGGAGACGCTGACAAAATGCAGAGTCTTCTGACCACTCTAAGCAACAATGCAAGCATGTTCGGGATGCGATTCTCCCCCTCGAAATGCAAAATGTTGCTTCAAGATTGGGTTGCATTGACACCCGAACTAATGATAGGGAGTGAAGTAGTTGAGCGTGTCGATCGCTTCACTTATCTTGGAAGTCTCATCAGCCCTTGTGGTCTGGTGTGTGACGAAGTCTCAGCACGGATACACAAGGCTCGACTAGCTTTTACCAACTTGCGTCATTTATGGCGTAGACGAGATATCCGTCTATCAACCAAAGGACGTGTTTACTGTACAGCAGTTCGTTCCGTCCTACTTTATGGCAGTGAAACATGGCCGGTAAGAGTAGAGGATATCCGTAGGTTACTAGTATTCGATCATAGGTGTCTTCGAGGGATTGCTCGTATATCCTGGGACCATCGAGTAAGTAACACAGTTGTTAGGAAACGGGTACTAGGTAAGGATGGCAAATCAATTGATGACGTAGTGAGACTTCATCAGTTGAGATGGGTGTGACATGTGTTACGTATGCCCAACGACCGACTGCCTCGAAGTGTGATGTTCATTGGTATAGGAGAAGATGAGAAGAAAGGTAGGGGCGGCCAGACCAAAACATGGCACAAGTCCATGAAGTCACTGACAAGTGGACTGAGTCATGTTGGTAGGTGTAGACTACCTGGTTGGGGACCGCGATATGATAGCAACCGATGGTTAGAGACCCTGAATGACATGGCTAAAAATTGTTCGCAATGGCGTAGGTGCATACACTCTTTGTGTTCTCCCAAATTTTGATCTCCTTATTCCTTCTTGTCTCTTTTTTCTCTTCCCAAATTTATTTCATTGTATTATACTCTTTAAATAACATCTCCAAACACTAATTTTCCCGATTACTGCTTATACTCTTATTACCTCTACCACTACGGGATTTGAATCGACCACTGCATCTGTATGCTAATGTGGTGTGGCAACTCGAACTGATGTACGTACGTACGAAGTTCTACGTTGTTACTGACTGACTGACTGAAGTAACTGAGCACTTTCCAAGATGCTGATCGTTTTGAAGGTTTGTTTGTGGATCACTTATCTTATTATTCAAACTTCTAGTTAGGACTGATAATTAACACTGATTGCTTTTTCTTTTTCAAGCTATATTATAAAACGACTGTTTATCTGAGATGTGTTGAAAACTCGTGTTAACCTTTTGTTTTGTACTTTTTCTTAGTTGGAAACCAATAGAAGATTACATAGACAGCACATTTGAACAATATTTTAAAGATGAGTGTGGTCTGAATCGTAAAAATATTCATGATCATCGAGTTCACTGTTGTTTGTATTTCATATCACCATATGGTCATGGGTAAGAAAATGAACTTTATTTGTTAAGATGTAGTTTGATAATTTAATTAATCCATCAGATTAATGCCATATTGATTGTATATATATATATATATATATATATATATATATATATATATATATATATATATATTCAAATCAATACGATATATATATATATATATATATATATATATATATATATATATTGAATTCGTACCAGTTACCGTTTTTCCAGCCTGACATGTTCATTTAATCTAGTTGTTTTCATTAACAAAATGTAGATTCACTGTTCTGTAGTATCATTTTTTATCGTATTTCTGTACATTGGTAGGATTGAATGATTGTTTTTGTTACATAACCAAAGCTTGAGGTTATATTAGGTGAATACTTAAGTCATTTGCATATGTAAAATCATGTGATAAACACTAACTTACTTGCTAACATTCCTGTTTAAGTTTATATATACGTAGCTATCATTTAGTTAAAAAAATTAATTGATTTATATTAATGCAGTGTAGAAATGTTATCGAATTGTCAATTCATTAAGACTAGTCCTAGTTATATTTCTAAGCTAAAATCATTCTTCTGAGTTCATTTTCTTTTATTAGTCCGTAATAGGTTGATAGAAATGCTTGTATAGTGTTGAAGTTATTCATAACTTTTCTAATAAACCAAACCATGGTATAGAAATTCTCATCTTAATGTATTTTTTTAAGGAATTTATTGTTAACCTGTTGAGCTATGAGGAATATTTGTTCTGAGCACAAATGAAATTAATAACTGTCATATATAAACAGTGACATATTATGATTTTATTATAACAAGAGGAGATTTAGAAGAGAAAAATCTAGCTATTTTTAATTAATATAAACGAAGTTATTTTGAAATTGTAACCGATTATTTCAAGGCTATAATCATAACTGTGTATTAATTATTTGATAAATTTGTTGCGAAATATTTGAGACACTATCGTATGCTGATTATTACTTAACATGAATTGGAAATTAATCAGAAATTGAATTATTTCAGTGTTTATAACTAGAGTAAATTTCTTCTCTAAACAAATAACTAGAGAGAAGGAGAGAATAGTCAAAAGTTTTGAGAAATCTCTTCCTTCTTTGTGTATGTTAACGAATAATGGTTTAAAGTATAATTTAAAACTCAAAATTTAGAGAATGGATCTTCTTTTTGTAGGGATTCATTATCAAACTGTACAACCGTGTATGGAAATTTGAGGATTACTTCCGTAAAGAAATATAAAACAATAAAATAAACATGGTGATGCAATAGTAGGATTTTAATACTAAATTATATAATGCAAATAGTAATACAATTTTGAGTAACTTCTACACAATGTGCACAAATTAAGTATAATTGTTTATCTTCTTCGGTTTTACATGAAAGCTAGAAAAATTATCACAAACTTGTACACCCAATTTCAGTTAATTTACTTAACGTTAAAGTCGTTCCCTATCCAAGTGTTTAAGAAAAGATAGCCAATTAAGTATCCAGGCCATTAAAGGACTTATCATTATCATTTAAATATTGTTGTTACTTTTTTGACCTATTTTAATTCCCGGATATTGATGTGAGAAATTTTTTAATTATTTATTTTGATTCAATTTAGTTTACGCCAAATAGATGTTGAATTTATGCGCCGTCTTCAACATAAAGTCAACATAGTCCCTGTAATAGCTAAAGCTGATGCATTGACTGCTAATGAATTACGTGCATTTAAAGAACGCATAATGGCAGATTTTGATCGTTATAAAATTGATATTTATCGTTTACCTGAATGTGACAGTGATGAAGAGGATGAAATCAAACGTTTAGATAAAGAAATCAAAGTTAGTTAAACATTCATTCATTTATGTGGTAGTTCTGTCATAGTAATCGGTTTTTGAGGCGATAACGTGTCCTGAAAAAATACTAACTTGTGTATAAATGACTGTAATTGTTAAGGGACTTTTTAGCCACATAGTCTTCAACTGAAGAACCATTGTTGCTTCTTTCTAGTTTGCGACTCCTCAATACTATGACAGCTTAAATTTCAATTGACCCGTGTATTTCACCGATTCTCCAGTTGATAATCGGTTCCTGAATGAATGTCATTGAATTACTTGAATAAACCCTAGAGTCTACGTTGCTTATGACTGACCTATAAACTACAAATATATAATCACTATTCGATTCTAACATTTAATCTCCTTATGATTGATAATAGTTCGTGTAAATTTCGAAAAATTTTGTATTTTGTAGGGGAGTTATATTTATATTCACACATTTGTTTGCATAAGATATTACAGATTCAAAATTACTCAAGCTTACTTGGAACGTTCCAAGGTCCTTAAAATCAGTATTAGAAAATAAAGTGTTTATATTTATCCAAGCTTATCTATTTGTTAATCATCTCATAACGTTAGTCTATTGATGTCTTCATGAATCATATGTCTAACAACTTCAAAGTATCAGTGCTATACAAAATTTTTCATATTCCATTTGTAGATGAGAAATACATTTACTATAAATTTATTGTCTCTTTTAAGAGTAATTAGGCTAAAATAACTTATATATGAAAATTATGATAAGAAGACCAGACAAGTCTGTTGGAAGAAACTTCGTAATTGCTTAAATACCAATCGACGAGATTATTTCAAATATAATTTCCACATATGATGACTTCTCGATACTCAGCGCCCAATTTTTGTCAAACTATTCGTTCTAATATTGACAAATATTCGTATAAAATAACTTCTATTGTTCCGATGTGAAGTTGCGTTTCTCAAGCTCTAAATAGTTATCATTATTTTTTTTCGAATAGGCTGTTCTACCTTTCGCTGTCGTCGGCAGTAATTGTGTTATCGATTTAGATGGTAGTCGTCGAGCTCGTGGTAGACAATATCCTTGGGGGTCAGTTGAAGTGGAGAATAGTCGTCATTGCGATTTTACAAAGCTGCGTATATTTCTGCTAAAGTAAGCATACTATTGTCATTTGTATTCCATAGTCAGTTCACTTCCTGTACTTCTTTAAAATTTATTGATACTGATTTCTTAGATGTATTATTTACTATGAATATGACACACTACTATCGGTACCAAGAAAAGTTTCGAACACAGTGTTGCTGAACCGGATGAAAGACTCAATCGACGCACAACTTCGAGATCAACAGGCTGGGTTTCGCAAGGATCGGTCGTACACAAACTAAATCGCGACACTACGGATCATCGTTTAACAATCAGTTGAGTGGAACTCGTCATTATACATCAGCTTCCTTGATTATGAGAAGCATTTGACAGTGTGGATAGGAGAACACTGGAAACTTCTTCGACACTATAGTGTGAGTACCTGAGAAGATCGTCAACATCATCCGGAATTCATACGACGGACTACCCTGCAGAGTGGTGCATGGAGGACAGCCGACAGACGCATTCCAAGTGAGGACCGGAGTCAGACAAAGCTGCTTACTCTCCTCCTTCCTCTTTCTTCTAGTGGTCGACTGGATTATGAAGATCTCGACATCTGAGGGAAAGCACAGAATACAATGGACAGGTTTGATGCAACTACACGATTTGGATTTCGCAGATGACCTGGCTCTTCTATGCCATACACACGAATAAGTGCAGACGAAGACAACCGGTGTAACAGCAGCTTCTACATCAGTAGGCCTCAACATACACAAGAGAAAAAAGCAATATCCGGAAATACAACACGGAGAACACCAACCCAATCACACTTGATGGAAGATGTGGAATCTTTCACGCACCTGGTCAGCACCATCGGTGAACGTGGAGGATCCGATGCAGACGAGAAAGTGAGGATTGACAAAGCAAGAACAGCATTCCTACAATTGAAGAACATATAGAGCTCAAAACAACTGTCAGCTAATATCAATGTAATGGTCTTCAATGCAAATGTCAAGACAGTTTTGCTATACGGAGCTGGAAGTTTGAGAACAACTTCAACGATCACCAAAATGATACAAGTATTTATAGATAGTTGTCTATTCAGGACACTCAATGTCCGTTGACCGGATCGGATACCATCAGCAACAGCCTACTGTGGTGTGGAAGAGGACGAACCAGCTTCAATCTGAAGAGGAAATTATGAAACGAAGCCAGAGATGGATAGTACATACACTGAGGAAATCACCAAACTGCATCACAAGGCAAGCCCCAACTCGGAATCCTGAAGGGAAAGAGGAAATAGGGAGACCAAGGAACACATTGAGTCGAGCATTGGAAGTAGACATCAAAGGGATGAATAGTAACTGGAAAGGATTGCCCAGGACAGAGTTGGATGGAGAGTATTGGTGGGTGACCCGTGCTCCTCCACGAGGGGTTACAAGCATAAGTAAGTAAGTAAGGTTTATTGTCAAAAGTACGTATACTTAATATAAATAAAGGCAATTATGTTAATCTATCGCAACATAGGATCTGGCATGAACGACTAAGGATTCACATCAAACCTCGAATTATTACGATTAGAAGAATGGTAGTGGTATCCAGCTCAGAGAACAAGACTCCATCAAAATCATTCATGTGAGCTACAAATCTTCTCCACCATCTCAAAAAGGTAATATTTAGTGTTTACTCTAACGGAAACAGTAAAAAAGGAATAACGGGAGATTGGAAAGTACGTAATAAAAATATATTTAAGATCTGGAAGACAATAAATGACCGATTTCGGTCGACTTGGGACCGTTTCATCCATAAATTGATCTTATTGGTCAAATTTACTAAACATTCGAAATTATAGCACAGGCGTACAAATGATATACGGTTCGGTGACGGAACTGAAAAACAATGAGTCTATTACAAGTTGTTAAGTTGATTATATTTTCCTTTTTTTTAGTTATTATTACCATTTAGTCAGATTTTTTTCACAAGCAGAGAAATTATTAATGTTTCATCAAAAAATTTGCTTTTTTTGACGACAGACTTTGTTTTATTCCTTGTTATTCTTTTTAAAATTAATTTTAGGACACATATGCAGGATTTAAAAGATATGACATTGGATGTGCATTATGAGAATTATAGAGCGAAATACATTACTGAACGGATGTCTAAGCGTCAAAGCGATCGTCGTGAAGGTGTTGGTACTGGAGCGTATGTTATTCACTTTGAAAACAATTCACTTATTCTATTTATTCATATTCTTTCATTCAGTCATTCATAAAGTTTGAGTTGTATAACAAAAGTTCTTAACTGGAATAATACATTTTCAGCATTTGATTTCCACCCACGATATATACACTTAACAGTATCCGAACTGTTTTTCTCATATGTTTGTTGCTTTTTCACATTTTTTTTACTAATAGTCGGAAGTCTTTCTGGACATTTATCATCAACATCCAATTACCTCTTTCTATCAGATATATTGATGGTACCTATTGTATCGTTGTAATGTGCATCTTTCGTGGTATGGAAGTATAATTTCGTAGTAAATATTTTTACTTCCCATATTCAATTATAGGCTCATTTAGTGGATTGGGGTTTGTTGGTTGGTTATTCAAATTGTTATTGTCGTATATCTTCCCGATTTTAAGTATGCATGGCTTAAAACTTTTGGTGTTATATTTTAGTTCCGCCTGATCAAAATTTCGCTGATCTCTTCAATCTGTGGACTTTTTTTGAATATGAATGTCTTACTTTGACAGCACGATGTAATCCTTTTCTCAAAATCATAGACACTTACCTTGAACTAAGAAGCCTACAGTTACATTTTAGAAATCTGTGTATATTGTCGATTTTCACATTGTGATAAATCTCCGAAAAGTGCTTTAAAGTTCAATATTTAAATATATACAATCTGTACTAATGAACAAGTTTACCCCATCTAACTTTATCACAGAAAAATTTTAAAAAATACGAGACTTGTCTCATACCAGTTAATTATAAGTGATTTCTACTGGGTTCAGGTTGCTTTTTTATGATGCCGCACTTACAGTTTTACACAGTTCAGGTTTGCGGTACTTGTTTTGTCAATGTCAGCCTTTTGTTTCCTATGAATTGTCATCATTCTCTTATCATTTCAATTTGCTTATTGTGTTAGAGAGAATTTGATGGGTTCTGTTAAGGATAATGAACTTCATTTTGTGGTGCGATCTGTATGTTGGATTCATTTCTTCGCTTTGGATGTTATCAATTATTTGTATGAATGTTTTTTGGTGGATTTCAGTCTTAGAATTATTTTCTCTTACCTTGTTGAGTAGTATAGCAATTGTTATAGTTGATAGGATATAGTTGTGTTGGTTTCATGTTTGAATCGTGGTCAGTGGCCTATGCTGTTCCATGAGAGGTAACAGGCGTAATAAGTAGGTTAGGTCTTAATGTTTCATTTGTGAATTATGCATCGTATAATTGATACCTGTTCATATTTTTATATAAGTAAATGCTTTAAGATATATCTTGGATTTAACTCAAGCTGTTTATGGAACAAACAAGTAAGCAACTTTGAATGTCTAAGACTAGTACTTTCTGGATAGGAATAAATATTTGCAAAACTCTCCATTCCGCTTGACGATCTGCTTCACTCTTAGGGAAACAGTCGGAATCATCGAATATATATAGAATACTGAGCGAATCTTTGAAGTTATTTTAATTTAAATCACTGAGATTTTGCAGATAAAACTGATCTTTAATGTCCTCTATGAGTTTGACGTCTAAATTTTATGGTCCGATTCGTTTAAATTTATTTAAAGGTCCCCATAAAATTGTATCGTTTTTCGAACATTTATTTTTTTATTTATATAGTTTCAATGGTAATCATGTAATATACTCCCTTTTGTCTACTTGTTGATAGATTGGCAAGATTAGAAAAAGAAGGTGGAACTGGCTTTGAGGCTATTGTTGATCAAGATAGTTTACTGAAACAGAAAGAGGAAGAGGTTAGTCAAGTTATAAACTTTTGTTGTGGTAACATATGTTGTGTTTGGACATGTTATTTCCCAGTTTTTAAATTATAAGATTACCACCTTTAAAAAAATGAAACATTATATTGTGATTCCTCACGTTTACAGTTTCCATAATATGCAATCTGAATTATTTCATACAAATATTTCCGGATTTTGTGAGCTTATGGTCTTGCTAATCCACAGTATTTTTGTCATACATCATTATTCATTTATTTACGTCCGTCTTTATTCAAAGAAACAACTTTTAAAATATCTTTACCGTACAGTATTCTGAATGTATGTGGCATTAATTATCGTGGAGTTTGTGTGCTAAATTGTTGATGTTGCTCTTTTTTAGTATAAACTATATCATTTGTTTAATATCTACATCAGCTTGAATTACTCAGTGTTCCTAAAAAGTCTTTACTTTAGTTCATATAAGTTATCAGTTTATGATCATAAGCTTTACTACATTCCAAAATATAGGCACATAGTTACCTGTCGTATCTTGAATAACTTCTGTTGTGTGATGGTTACAAGTACTATCTCAATCAAAGTGAGCCAAATGGGACTGAAATGTACAACTGAATCATTGTAATATAAATGGCAAAAATTTTAAATTATTTTTAATTTATTATTGCTAACTTGTACTGTGACGTGGCTGTCCTTGAAATCCTAATCACCAGTGGTGATGACTGACAGGAGTTGATTAGAAGAAAGCTAATCGGAACTAAACTGAAGTGGTGAAATCAATTCTCATAGTCATTGAATGTCTGACGCTTGTTGCTAGTAACTGACTACCTGGTTGGAGTGAGAGCGATAATCGCGACTAATGATTAGGAACGTTGGATGAAGACCTAAAATTGACCACAATATTTGAGTCCAATTTGTTCCTTATCTTCAACCAGACCCCTAGTTACAGTATTATTTCATAGTTTGTATTTTTGGACATGATTTTTCACGGTTATTAGTCTTATTACCCTACTACCAACGTTCCGACTCCGTACATACATTTTGTTTCATTTGATCTCGTTGTGCTGAAGTTGTCTGTTTCAGATTATACACAACGTAAATCCTTTAGGGATTTCAATGGTTTATCTTTCTAGGTAGATCATATTCATGCAAACTGTTCAAAATTGACGATTGAAATGACTATTCATTCTAAAAGTTACTCAGATCTGGTTAACAAATTTCGTTTATGCTCTTTTACTATACATGCTATTCAATGGACTTGATAACATCTTAGGTAATTGTGGTGTAATGTGTTTTCTTGAATGGTAAAATTAAATTTTTGTATGTCACACGACTTGTTCGAAATCGAACACTTTTGTATCTTTAAGACGTTATCTTCATCAGTAAAAACATCCTTCGAATGTATTATCAATAATCATATTAGCCTTAAAATTGTTTAAGTTTACGGGTATTTTCTAAATGTTGTCTAATATAAGACGATGTTTATCCAATGTTCTGTTAAATTAATTGATTATAACTTATATAACGTAGTTAAAATGATTAGATTTCCTTGTTGCCTGTAACTCATTAGTACATACTGAATTTTATGTATAGAGTTAGTTTTATATATGTCATATATTGCATTGTAATTTATATCTTGATTGTTGATTAAATTTTTCATTGATTCTACTGAGTTTCATTCATTTGCAAAATAAATCAGTTTCCAATTAAAAGAACGTAGTGTAACCAGTTTCAGTTAATAATCAATCTCAAATAATATTCAACGTCTTGGAATGAATATGTATCGATCTAAATTGACGCTCATCGCACACTGGGGAACAGTTAGAAAATTAAAACCTATGGTATTTGCTGCTTTTCAAGAACTTTAAATATTCACTACAATTCTTATAGTGCGAAGCGTTTGCAGGTTGAATAATATTACATAACAGCTTCGTCGATTATATCATAATAGTTACTCATTTTTTTATCGGTATTAATCAAACCTTTTGAAAACTTTTTATTATTGTTGGCATACTGATAAATATTTTTCGGTATATATATTTTTTCTCTAGCTTCAAAGAATGCAACAACTAATGAGTAAAATGCAAGAACAGTTAAAACGCAATACCAATGTTGTACCGAACGCATCAGTCGGTTTAAATAATGGTACAGGTAATACTCAATCTTCTCCTATTCCTGCAACTGGTCAACAAGCTTCTTGAATACAAAAAGAGTATATAGGTTGTTTAGGATTCAAAATCGCGTTATCACATTTATTTATATCTTATTATTTTGCTTAAAATTCAGTCGATTAGGTCGGAATATGGTCAATATGATGTGCTAACAATAAATATTTTATCGTTTATACTAATAAAACTATTACTTCTTTCTTTCTTTTCTTGAATCCATACAACATTGTCTAATTAAATTGTTTGTGTCTACTTATGTTTATTCAATTACCGGTTCCATATAATTTTGTTTCAATAAAAAAAAAACTAGACAGAAATTTTCTTTCTTCTTTTTATTGAACTTATTACATTACGTATTCTCAGTTTTTAATTATATTCACATTTCATTAAGAATAAAGATAGAACGAACTGTTAATTTTCACTTCTACTGATGGTATATTGTTTTTTTTTTAATTATCTCTCTCAATTTTTGCAGTTCATCATAAAGTTCTTCCTTCTTTTCTGTTTTTTAATTAATCATGAATATGCATTTTATCTTACTTTTATAAATCAAATCAATTGATTACTTTCTTTTCATTTTATTCATCTAGTCTAGCTTATTGTTTTTTTTCTTTTTTACTTTGTGGTTACAACAATTCCTGTTACACTTTGTTAACCAAAAATTATATTATTTGATGTGAAAAACAAACTTTATATTTTTTATCTGTGTACGCATTTTCATACTTTTTGTTAAATTTTGTCTTTTCACTTCATTTTATTATTTCGTCTAATTACTTAAAAAAAAATGAGGTGAATAAACCATGCTTATCACAATGTCAAATAATTGTCAATGTCCTAAAAATACTTATTGTGTTCAGTTATCTTTTTTTTTTGCTGTGTCAAGTGGGTTATTTTTTTCTCTTTATGTACTTAGCTGTTTAGAATTGACGATTTTGTGTAAAATATTTATGTATGCGTAATTAGTATCTCCCACTTTACTTAATACCTAATTAGGAAAGTGTTGAAAAGCTAATTTTTGGTCATTTGTGAGATATTACTGTTTCACCATTTCAAATGTTGTCACCCAAGATTAAAAGTTTCTGTATAATGAGCTCAGCTTATATAATCTCGGTTTTATAAACATCAATTTCTACAGTTTCCGCCAATTCAAAAGAAATGTCTACAAATGTAATTACGGTCACGAAAGATCCTCGGAAACTTAACAGATTATCGTCTCATATTAAAAATACTTCAGAAATAATCCCTAGGATCTCGAAATTAGTATTGCTAACAAACCAACTCAAGAACCTTATTCCAATCTCTTTAGACAAAAAGACATGGAGGCGAAACAGGACGTCGTACTGCTGACTGCAGAGAGGTGTGACAGTAGTACGGTGTTTCCCTCGGGCAACCAGCATCTGCAGCGATGCTGCCTTCTCACGAGTAAGTAAGGGTTAGAAAAGGTCGACCCTAAAAATGCCACACCCCACGGATTTCCATCTCCAAGTTGGTCACGAACAATCATTCCTACACCTCCTAATAACTCTTACCTCCACGACTAACCCTTCTCACGTCCCTTCATCACCTAGCGCCACTAATGCAAACGATTTGGTTGCGTGGAACGTTATTCCCGGTCTCCTGAAAGCACGCTCTAAACTACATGTAGGAGCTTTTAACGTCCGTACACTGTGCCAAATAGGACAACAGGCTTCCTTAGCTAGGACTTTAGAATCTCGCGCCATCGATGTGTGCTGCGTCTCCGAAACGCACATACAGGATCCGAGTAGCGTCATTCGTCGGACCTCACCATATCAAAATCAAGAACCAACTCAATTCACACTCCGTGTATCTAGTAGCCTTGATCCTGCTTCCCGTGGCCGCCTTTGTGTAGGTGTAGCATTGAGTACTAGGACAGAACTAGCTCTCAGAGTGAGTTCTAGTAGACAGTCGTTTGTGTACTGTCAGACTGAACGAAACAGTAAGGACTCGGAAAGATAGGGACACTCGTCGTTGCCTCTTCGTCGTCTCTGCCCACTCTCCCACTGAATATAGCTCAGATGATATAAAAGATGAGTTTTACAGAAAGCTTTCTGACCTCTGAAAAGCTGGGTGCTCTGATGTAGTAATAGTGGTTGGTGACTTTTGTTAGGTCCAGGTAAACATAATGAATGGTAACTTTTGGGATCCCTTTATGGACCAATACTATGCGTACATTTTTAAACGTATAATTGTTAAATAACTGAACTATCCATATTCATGCCCCTCTTATTATGAGCTTTATTTTGACCCATGAACTATTATTATACGATTTACCATTCTTGAATTATGCCCTGTCTGTTCATTACTACCTCCCACATTCACAGCCACAATAGGCTAAATCTTGTACAAACGTTATTTTCCATTTTATGGTACGATGTGGTCTGTCTAGTTGGTATGTAAATCCAGTATGTTTGGAATAAACGAGTTGTATTGCAGAGGCTGAGATTGGTATTTCGGACTTAACTGGCTGGGCTAGACTCGAAGCAGGACCAATAAGGACTCTAGACTGCTCATACGTGTTTTATGCGTCATTGGTCCGATCGATAATTCGCCGCTTTTGATTGGGGGCTTTGGGCTATAACAAATTTAATGCACAAATAAGTAAACTAAGGGAAAGACACATGGGTGGATCTAATAGCGTCGTGGCCCAAAGAATGGATAATGGCGACCGTCTGTTGCAGCTATGTTCAGATAATCGCCCGTTTCTAGCAAACATTAACTTTAAGCATAAGCAAAAACATTTTGACATGGCGACCCCCGAATTCGTCCCAACTAGATCACATCGCTATCAGCCAACGATGGGGGGGGCTCGGTAGAAGACTGTCGCTCGTTCTGGAGCACATATTCTTGTACGAGCGTGTATTTGTCTACGTCTTATTGGACGTAGGAAAGACGCTTAAAGGAAACCTCTTAGGGTCCTACTTAATGATAGTCAAGCTAAGAGTATATTTCAGGAACAACTAGGAAAAAAGTTAGGCAGCAATGTAAGTGATGCCCATCCCGAGGCGGCTTGAAATGACATCCGAAAAACTGGAAACAGCAGTGATATTTGCTATTTAGGTAAACCAGAAGGTTAGGGAGGAACACTGGATCTCAGCAGCATCTGCCGCACTGATAGATACTCGAAAACTCATCCCATCTGGCTCTGAACATAAAGAAAAGCGGAGTCAGCTTAAGCGCAGGCTGGTAAGAAGCCTACGCAACGATCGCGAACAGTGGTGAGTAGCAAAAACAAGAAAGATAGAAAGGCAGCGGCAGTAAGTAACAGCAGACAATTATTCAGACTTGTCAAGGAAACCGGTATTAGGAATCCAGCTGTTAGCGAAACTATCTTAAAAAAGATGGACATATTATTCATTATCAATTCACGAGATTGGATTGATGGACAGAACACATTAAGGATCAGTTCAACTGGCCTTCAGCCACACTTCGGTTTTCCACGATCTCCAGTCAATCTGAATGGTAAGTTAATGTAGGTCCTCCGGCTCTTTACCAATTCGAAAAAGCTATATGAAATCTGAAGCGAGGGAGAGCAGTAGGCCCTGACAGGTTTACTCCTGAGTTTCAAGGATGGCGGTCCAGTATCAGCAGGGAGATTGTCTGAGGTCTTAGGTAGGATCTGTGAATTGGACGTGATCTCATCTGACTGGTCTCAATCTCTGATTGTGCCAGTCTGTAAGAAAGGACAAAAGTCCTTGTGACAATCACAGAGGAATCAGATTGACTAATATGTCAAATATTAGATGACGAACTTTCAGCACGGATACAGAAGGCTCGACTAGCTTTCGCCAACTTGCGTCATTTATGGCGTAGACGAGATATCCGTCTATCAACCAAAGGACGTGTTTACTGTACAGCAGTTCGTTCCGTCCTACTTTATGGCAGTGAAACATGGCCGGTAAGAGTAGAGGATATCCGTAGGTTACTAGTATTCGATCATAGGTGTCTTCGAGGGATTGCTCGTATATCCTGGGACCATCGAGTAAGTAACGCAGTTGTTAGGAAACGGGTACTAGATAATGATGGAAAATCAATTGATAAAGTAGGGAAACTTCATTAGCTGAGATGGCTGGTACATGTGTTACGTATGCTCAACGACCGACTGCCTCGACGTGTGATGTTCATTGGTATAGGAGAAGATGGGAAGAAAGGTAGGGGCGGCCAGACCAAAACATGGCACAAGTCCATGAAGTCACTGACAAGTGGACTGAGTCATGTTGGTAGGTGTAGACTACCTGGTTGGGGACCGCGATATGATAGCAACCGATGGTTAGAGACCCTGAATGACATGGCTAAAAATGGTTTGCGATGGCGCAGGTGAATCCACTCTTCGTGTTCTCGCAAATTCTAATCTTCTGAACTCTTCATGTGCTTTTTCTCCATCCAAATTTATTTCACTGTATTATACTCTTTAAATAACACCTCCAAGCCCTAATGTTTCTGATTACTACTTATACTCTTACAACCTCTACCACTACGGGATTTGAATCGACGATTGTATTCGTGTGCTAATGTGGTATGGCAGCTTGAACTGATGTACGTACGTACGAAGTTTTACGTTGTTACCTGACTGACTGACACAGTCCACACGATGTAAAGTTACTTGAACCAGGGGCCAAACTACAACTTGATCGATAAAATACGATCAACGTTAAACCGGCATCTGACATCTTTTACTATTCATTGATTAGTTAGTTGCCATCTATTGTTAAATAATGTATGCAGGAATACCTTCTTAGTGCACTTCTTTTTTTCTCTCACAATAACGTGCAGTGAAAGGTACATATCAGTAATACATTTTGGTAATATTTACCAAGTAAATAGGCGTGGTGATTTTTATTAAGCTTTTGTGAGTAGACCGTCAAGTAATTCTCTCACTTTTCTGTTACCGTATAAAAATTAAAAAAGAACATTACTAACTCAACGATACAGACATTTTTGAACTTTGTACTTATTGATTTTTTCAACTTTGAGGTAGATATGTGATTGAAATAAAGAAAAATAAAAACAAATCGTAAGTATAACATGGAGCGATAGAAGGAGAAGCAAACAACAAATAAAAGTTAATTAACTAATTTACGTTCGTAAAACTCAAAAGGTAATCAGTATTTAATTGCATGTAAATAAAAAGGCGAATAAAGTATAGATTAAAAATTGTCGAGATAAAAATAAATTACAGGACAAATCAACATAATCTGGTCAAGAAGTTCCTAGTTCTTTCATAATTGACAAACAGTAATCGATAGCTCATAAATATACGTGAATAAAAACAATTACGACCCTATACATTTTGTACCTTTGGCTGTTGCGTTGTTGTTTGCTGACGATCTGGTTCATGAGTCAAATGATTTTGTTCTTTTAATTGTGCTTCACTAGCTAATCTTCTTAATTCCTCTTCATTTGTTTCGAACATATCCTCTTCATCTTGAGCAGTCTGAAAAAAAGAAACCGTACACTGTTAAACAGTTATATGATTTATATGTTGTCATATAGGTAATATGTGTTACAAAGGAAATAAAGGGAAATCATACTTCCTAAGTCATGGAGGTTAACAAACGTGATTTGAATCAAATATAGACAAGAAATTAATTGCATACTATTCACAACCTTAGATGGTTTTGTGATTTATATACAATGAATCAGAAGTCAAATGATTTTAGTATGTTGAACAAATGGATTTGGGTATGATGTATTAAGGGTATGCAGTTTGAACAAAAATTATAAATAATTGGTTATGTTGTCTTCATAAGATTGCTGATATTTGGTGTAATTAATAAGTGAACAACTCTCAGATTCAGTATATAGTTTAGAAATAACAGAAATCAATCGATTAGGATAGTGACCATCATTACGGTGGTCAGATCGTATGTTATGCGAATCTATTAAGCGAGAGACCATAGGGGGTGTATTGCTAATCATAGACCGATGTTAGCATGATCAGTTGTTTGAAAAACAAAGGAAATAAATTTATCAGTATGGGAATTTTTGGAGATTGTAGTATTTTAGCTGGAATTCTTCGATCAACAACTGTTGCAATTCAGATGCATTTGCAATTTTTTAGATTTTATTTTAACAGTTGAAACCAGAGATCGATTAAAGCAAGACCATCATTGGGAACCCGGAAGCACCGGATGGAAGATCCTCCCTAGTATGAGGCTCCTCAGCAACACGTATCCATTATCCAGTGCATAGGACTCGAACCCAAGGCCTTCGGTCTTGCGCGTGTACACTTAACTTCTAAAGCACTGAGCCGGCATCCAACAATGGTAATATCTAACTTCAATCCATGCGGTGCTTTCAGGTTTTCGATGATGGTCTAGTTTATATCGACTTGTGAATTCAACTGTTAACATAAATTTAGTCTAACAAATTGTAGAAAAAGATGCAGAAGCACGTGATATGCAGAGCCAACCAGAGGTAGGACAAAATCAATCGATGGCAATCAGAAGTGGCACAAGGATCAAGTATATTTCACTGGGGTCAACGGGTCAACTTTCTAAGGATAGAATGGTATATATATATATATATATATATATATATATATATATATATATATATATATATATATATATATATATATATATATATATATATATATATATATATATATATATATATGAGTATTTGTGCATTTTGTTAAGTAGTCTAATACACTTTCTCGCCTAAGTAGTCAGTTGGGCGGTTAGCGCATAACACATCGTGTATCAGTATCAGATTTCGAACACCGCACGTCACAACAGCACTTGAATTACAACTATTGTTGAACAAACAAGAATTACATTGTAATAAAATGATAAGCTAAAAATACGGATTATAATACTTTATGACATCTTAACGAATACGTGATTTATCCAGGTAAAATAGTTAATACACAAGAATATCTTTATAGCCAACATTAAACCATAAATTCGACAATCCATTAAACATAGATTTAACAAGAACATGTGATTTACACTTTCGTGTTTTGCGTGTAGTTTTATCGAGTTACATTCATTTGTGTCAAATATATGATCAACTATGCATTCCAAAAACTCGTACGTTGGTTCTAAGTATTTATTTCGTTGTACAAGAGGTAATTTGACCAATTTTTACGCAAACATTGTGTTGTCCATTCGGAAGTTCAAAGTTTTTTTTACCAGTCTAGATATTCTTTTCATTTATAAACGATTCAGAGTTTTTATGAACATATTACTGATGGAAATCTAAGTTTATGATAGGCATCTCTCTGGCTGTTGACAAATTATTCCACTTATGATAAACACGATATATTGGCCTATTAACCAACGGACGAGGAAATGGTGTAGCAATTCACATAGTATTACTCTGAGGATGTGAAACGTGGTTTATGAAAATCAAGAACAACCGTAGGTTGCTAGTATTCAATCAAACGTCTTCGAAACACTCTTTGCGTATTTTAAAATAATTGAATGTGTAATACCGATGTAAGGTTAAGGATAAGAAGGAAAAGATTAACGGTGAATTCATAAATCTTCATCGACTGAGGTCGTTAGGGGATTCGTTAAATGTATCCAACCACCACCTATCTCATCAAGGATACAAAGATCTAGCTTGGGTTTAGTCAGCTTGTAACATCAATGGAATATATGAGATGTCTTTCCCCTTATCAAAGGGTAAGTGTACAATGCAACAACACGATCTTCGACGACATATTGCTATGAAGCATAGTGCTTGAAGGCTAAGAAAATGCATAAGCTAACATTGTTTGATAAAAAGCCTCTTTAAAAAGTTACTAATCTATGAGGAAAGCACTGATAGAGTAGTCATGTAGTTAGGTACAGTGTACTAGGTAAAGATGGCAAATCGGTTGGTAAAGATGAGGTATATGGGACATGTGTTATTTATGTCCAACAACTACCTAATGCAATGTATATTGGTAACTGAAGTGGTAGTAAGTTGAAAAAAAAGCTAAGACAGACAGATCATAGTGTATTAATGTTTTACAAATTCAATGACAAGACGTTTTCTCATCCGCATTGAGAAGTGCAAACTTCATGGTTGGGATCCGTGGGGCAATCCCAATACTTAGATCGAAATGTTGGGTGGCAAAGTCTCAGATCAACCGCAGTTGATCAGTTGCAATCACTTTTCTCTTTTTAAATATCGATTTAAGGGTCATTCATAAATCTCCATTCTTTGATCTCATCAGGTGATCAAACCTTTCGATTTCTGCGTATATAAGTGCACACGAATCGTAAACATTTTAGTACTATCAGATGAACACTTTACAAATAGTGCTACGTATTTAGTTTTATAAATGTAGCGAAGCGTCAACTAGAATCAATCTTTGTACGTTTAATCGAACCATAAATCACATCGTTATGACCCCTGTTATTTTAGACGTATTCGAAATTATTGCACACAATTGTATGTAAAGCTTATTGTCATACAAAAAAGACAAGGTGAAAAATATGTTTAAAAGCATTGGTATCTGAGATCACATGAAGTAGTAAAGAGAAATTTATTACAATTAATATTAAGAACTTAGATGAATATAATACAAAAATACTAACCATCCAATCACTGTCATATGATGGATAAGGTTGATTAACACCTCTTAGAAATTCATCACGGGAAACAAAGTAATCACCATCTGTATCGAATCGTTCCATAAATTTTTGTCGCATTCTACTTTGATCATACTTTTCTTCCCATGGGTCGTAATCTGGATCTTCAGGATTATAAACCTTTTCAAGCTAAAAATACGACACTAAATTTACTCGTTTGTACTTTTATGTAATGCTGATTAATATTGAAATAAATTATCTTACGAAAAAAACAAATGTTACTCAGTTAGAAGAAATGTAGTTAAACATTTTGAGGACAAGTTACTGTTGAATAGGATGTATTCATCTGCTTGTGATGACTGGACTACAAGAATTTAATTAAAATTAACTGCACTGAAATGAGATTATTAAGACGTTCCCAAAGAGATCTTAGCCCTTCCGATAAAATCTGACTATTCTTGAGAACACAATAGTAGATTCATGATGCGCGTCTCGTGCTGTTTGGGACTCATCAACTGGATGTACGTGCATCCCAAAGAGAATAAATGGATTCTCTATTTTCAATGGTTAGACGAACATAAACGGAGGGCACAACTGATGGTGAATTGGCTAAAATTTAACGAAAACCTATAGAGAATGAGCTTTCCAAAAAGTTGATAGCCAGTAACCCGAATTAAAACATTCACCGAAAAGTACATCCACATTGCCCGAGATAACTTTGTTCATGGACACCGAATGAAAAATTAATATATCTATTAACAGAACTCCAAAAATCCTACTGTAACCTTTCTGAAGACCCTTCGTCCGTCGGGGTTCTGAACTGTCTTCTCTAGTAGCGACATATTTGGAAATGTGTCAAGCATAAACTTTTTCTTTCAGTTAAATTAATGTACATCTGTAAGTATACCCACAGGTCATATTAATCACAAATGAACATTTTCCAAACACATACTCAAGCATTACCCTGGATGACTAGTTCAATGTCAATTAACTGCTTAATACTTGAAAAACCTGTGAACTTTGATAATGTATCACCTCCGGAATTGTTAAATCGAAAAATTTGCTCATACCGACAATTGAATATTATTTTTCTTTTACTAGGTAGTAACTGAGTCAAGCATATTAAGAGAGAAATGAAACTACTGTGAAGAATCAGAAGAGGGATAACAATACAACCAAAGGACAAGAAAATAAGAACAGTAAGCACTACAAGAAACAGATTAATAACACAATCAAGATAGATGCATACCATTGCTGACGAGGAATACAAAAGCAAACTATGTGGCCGAACTGGCCTTGACTTCTGTTCCCAGACGTGCCTGAGACCGTCTCAAGCCACACAGTCGCATGGTGATTAGGATCCCAAGTCAAGAAGTTGGGATAGTACGGAGAATCTGATTTCTTAAAAATATTCTTATAGTTGCTTCAAGAGAAAACATACTGTCTTTAAATATCCAGGGTATTTTCAATAAAGTGAGAGGGTGAAGGTGGACCCCAGTGGTGTACACGAAGAGAGTATTTAGAGGAATTAGAAAATCTTTATTTCAAACAACAGTGGAAACAGGCCACGGAGAATGAATTGCGTGTAATGCTATTGTGGTGACTGGTGACCATGATGCTGATATAACCCCACTGTCATGTGGATAAGCCCTTCAGACCAAAGACTAGGAGGTCATTTCCCAAGAAAACTCCGTGTTTTGGTTTAAAAGGGCTTAGGAGTATCCAAACTTTCGAGCAATTTTTGACAACTATCAATGAAGAAAACAGATGCTTTCAATTCCATGAAAAAGGTAGGACTGAACTCCGCATTTTAGTATCAAAGAAACTGGAACTGACTCAAGTAAAGTACCGGGTAATCATAGTTGCTTAGTTTTAAGGATGAAATATTTCATTTTGAGCTCAGACGCTTGTTTGATGTGAAATTAAACTACGAACAATAGGACAGTCACTAAGTAATGTTTTCGGTTTTGAGAATGTAATATCAAATAATAAATGATCATGTCCAGTTAGTGGGGTATATCCTAACAGTTCAAAATGAATATATTCATCTTGGTAAACATTTCACAAACAGACTAGATAGTAAGACAAGTGTATAGTAAAGGGAAAGTAAATCAGAATTGAAAGACAGACTGTTAGGTTTTTGGGTGAAATTCGAAATGAATGACTTTTATCATGTAACGCATAAAATGACAAGTCGAAAGACCGTTGTCTTATGTTCAAAACATTGAAATTGATAGTGAATAATGAGGTTTTTTCATAAGAGAGTAGAAATGACAGTGTTAAATGTACAAAACTTTCGATTCTCTCAATGCAAAATGTATGTAACACGCAAATAAACTTTGCTCCTAAACCCCAATCAGGAACAATCTGAGTACCGGTCCGATTGGTGAATACTTTGAAGAAACAAGATCACTAGAAAACATTCTGCGAGAATCGATATGCGTCAACCGACCTAACATCATTGTTACAGAAGACTGGAGAATCCAAAAACCCTTTTTGGGTCCTAATAAAGGTTAGAGAAGACAGATGTTCTGTATTCAATTGAACGAACTAATATGAAGTTGTTTTTGATCTACAAACCGAAAAACCTTAGGTAGAGTTCAATAGATTCATCGATTACATAAAATCTATTTACGCTATGTAAAATATTATTATTTTCTTCTCCATAAACTATTCATTTACGTTGGTGTATACACTTTTTGTCTTTCCTTAAATCATGAGATTAAAATTACTTTATATCTTTCTTTCTAATTCTTTCTTTTTGTACTATATCCTTATACACAATCTCTCTTCTATATATTACTATCATTGAAGTAACTACATCTGACTTCATTTACAAAAGCTATTTTCCAATTGGTAAACAACTGATTAAAAGTTCGTCATCGTTGTTTCAGGCTTGTATCTATACGAAACTCTTACCGATAATAATACTTTTGTAGCTTAATATTAAATACTCTATAAATAAAATGCACTATAACAATAAAATATTTTTTTATTGATCTCAAAACGAGAATGAAAATTATACCTACTTCTCTTTGTAAAAGTGCTTCAACTTCATGGATATTCAGATAACCGTCTCCATCTAAATCTAAATTATTTATTTATATTTAAAAGAAAAATAACAAGAGGATGAAAAACTATAAATAGAAAGAAATAATGGTAAAACTACAGAATATTTTTATCAGTTATTTGCCTCAGCAGTAAGGCCTTGTGGAGATAAAATTTTGACAATTCATAAGAAATATATTTAAAATGACAATAAAATAAAACATGCTTTTTTTATGTTTTTTTATCATTATACACTACTGATCAATTGTATTGTTTTATCATAGCTCTAAGGATTAAAATAACTCCGTTTGTAGCTCTTTTAGAATTATTGCTGATCCCAAACCCACACGAAGGAGGAGGATTGGGCAGAGGGTCGGCAACACCATCCCGTAGAAATAAACCTTGCAAAAAACACCAACCAGAAAAAATTAAACCATTTAAACTCTGTACTGGGAGTTGAAGGAAGAATGATGACGCCTCACAATGAAAGCTGAGATTCTTTGGAAGTCGCGAGGCTGGTGCCCCTCCTAGCAACCAGAGCAACAATTTGTATAGGTACATGGAACGTCCGTACAATGTAGGAGACCAGAAGGACCAGTAAAATAGCAACGGAAATGAGGACAACTTGGCAACACTCGGAACCAGCGACATCTATTGCTACATCATGTTACATATATACATCCTTCATCGCCCTCTGATGTATAAGTTGTAAGCAGCTGATGAGAACCTAACGAAATAAAATGAATTCATATTATCTTGCACCAACCTTTGTTCTTGCTCTCTTTAACATAATAAAGCGAACCATGTGTATGAAATTCGGGAGAGTTGCTCGTGCACTCTGTTCACAAAGAAGAAAATGCTTCACACGCTCAGGGAGTTACTCTAATGCTGTACAATGAAGCAAAGAATGCACTTATAGGATGGAAATCTCACGGATCTAGGATAGCCAAAGCATTCTTCAAAATAAAGAAGAAGCGAATCACGATGAATGTGATCGTTTTAGGCACCCACCAATGATAGCAACGACGACAATAAAGATCAGCTCTATGAGCGACTGTAATCAATCATAGCGTAAAGCCCAAGAAAGGATCTCACTATCCTGATGGTAGACGTAAGTGCCAAAGTCGGAATGGACAACACCAGATATCAAGGACGACATAAACTGAGGGAGAAAAACGCAAATGGGGAGACATTTGCAAACCTGGGTGTGAGATGACGGGAAGAAAGGTCAAAATTCGATTGATTTACTCATGAGTTTTGTTCAACATTACTTCTGTTTTCATTCAATGTGATGATAATTCAGTGTAGTAGTTGTTTTGTTTAGTCGTATGATATTTTATTCTGTATCATATACGATATTCTTGTATTCAATGGACATGAACTATAATCAGTATGTGATTTGTTACGTATATATATGTGATTTCATCATAATTATTAATCAAATTGTGAGTACAATCAATATATAAACGAATGTATTTTTGACTATCGTCGTCATCGTCGTGTTTTGGGGTTAATAAATCTTCACTTATACCAGTCTTTGTGTTCTTACTTTCGCGTCGTGGGAATTGCGGAGGTACCTCGTTCCGAGTATAAGTGATAAGCATTTCCGACACAACAATCAGCGACGACCGGATATAAAAAGTAGCATTTAACTGACAAGTTATAACAAAGTGCATTCCACAAAGTGGTTATAGACGGCACGATATTCCTACATGAACACATACACAAAGCTACAAGAGTTTCACCGGATTACAACACGAAGAACCAGATTATATTCGCACCAATAAAAAATTAAAAACAACAGTAGAAGATGTGAGAACCAGGAGAGGAGCTGAAATGGCTTCATTTCACCATCTGGTTGCGGCCAAGTTGAAACTGAAGCTAAGGAAGCACTGGACAACTGGACAAACAGCAGTACAAAGGTTCAATACAACCTTCCTACGACATACTAACAAATGAAACGACTTGAAGACAACTCTCAACAACAGGTTCCAAGTCTTACAGGATCTACTGAAAGAAGAAGAAACTACTATGGAGGACAACTGGAAAGGTACCAAATAAGCATTAACTTCAACATCTCAGGAGGTTCTAGGCCGCAACAAGCATCATCATAAGGAATGGGTCCCCATCGAAACCCCATACAATATTCAAGAAAGGAAGAGTAGGAAAACGGCAATCAACAACAGCCGAACAAGGGTAGAGGAAGCCAAAGTACAATCTGGATACACAGAAGCAAACAAGCAAGTGAAGAGAAGCATTAGAACTGACAAGTAGAAATACGTGGAAGATCTGGCAACGACAGCGGAGAAAGCTTCAAGTGAAGGAAATATGAGACAACTATATGACACAACGAAGAAACTGGTAAGGAAATATAGTAAACTAGAGAGACCACTCAAGGACAAAGAAGGCAAGACAATCACCAAGATTCAAGAGTATAGGAACAGATGGGTGGAACTCTTGAATATACCAGCTCCACTCAGTCCACCGGACATCGAAGCAACACTCACAGACCTTTTTATAGAGGTCACTCCTCCAACGATCGAAGAAATCAGGATGGCCATCAGACAAATCAAGAGTGGGAAACAGCAGAACCTGACAACATACCAGCTGAAGCACTGAAGTCAAACACAGAAGTAGTTGCGAACATGCCTCACGTTCTATTCGGTAAGATTTAGGAGGACGGACAATTGCTGACGAACTGGAAAGAAGGACACCTCATCAAGATACCAAAGAAAGCAGATCTGAGCAAGTGTGAGGACTACAGAGGCATCACACTACTATCAATACCAGGAAAAGTTTCGAACACAGTGTTGCTGAACCGGATGAAAGACTCAATCGACGCACAACTTCGAGATCAACAGGCTGGGTTTCGCAAGGATCGGTCGTACACAAACTAAATCGCGACACTACGGATCATCGTTTAACAATCAGTTGAGTGGAACTCGTCATTATACATCAGCTTCCTTGATTATGAGAAGCATTTGACAGTGTGGATAGGAGAACACTGGAAACTTCTTCGACACTATAGTGTGAGTACCTGAGAAGATCGTCAACATCATCCGGAATTCATACGACGGACTACCCTGCAGAGTGGTGCATGGAGGACAGCCGACAGACGCATTCCAAGTGAGGACCGGAGTCAGACAAAGCTGCTTACTCTCCTCCTTCCTCTTTCTTCTAGTGGTCGACTGGATTATGAAGATCTCGACATCTGAGGGAAAGCACAGAAACCCGACACGTCGAAAATCTCCCACGAAAAGGCCGTGCGCGACCAGCCTCAAGCGGTTGTCCCTTGGGCACTGCGGTCACGCTCTCAGGTCACTGAGACCACCTCTAATCCAATTTCCTTTTCAGGTACCTCCAGAAGAACCCTTCCACGGTGTGGGCAACCGGGAAGTGATAACCGCCCTCATACCTCTAACAGCACCCAAGACCACTGTATTCATAATCAACCTTCCTCTTCAATTCCTATTATTCCTCCTACATCGACTTTCAACTCTAAACTTCCTCTTCGGCTTCCTCCTCAAGTGTCACCATAGCCAACGATTCTAGTGCTCAAAACACTGTCCCAGGTCTACTGAAACCTCGCTCCAAACTACACATTGGAGCCTTCAACGTACGCACCCTATGTCAAATCGGTCAGCAGGCTTCCTTGGCTAAAACCCTAGAGTCTCTTTCCATTGATGTATGCTGTGTCTCCGAAACACGCATACAGGATTCCAGTGTGGTCATTCACTTGACCTCACCTCGGCAAAACGGAGAGCCAACGAGATACACCCTCGTGTATCTGGTGACCCGATGGCCAGTTCTCGTGGACTGGCAGGTGTAGGCATAGCACTAAGCATGAGGGCCGAACAAGCACTGCTAGAGTGGATCCCCGTCAACAGTCGTCTATGTGCTGTTCGGCTAAACGGCTCCGTAAGAACTCGGAAGGATAGGGACACACGTCGTTGCCTTTTTGTCGTTTCTGCCTACGCTCCCACTGACTGCAGCTCAGATGATGTGAAAGATGAATTTTACAGAAAGCTGTCCGAACTTCTTCAGAAAGCTAAACGCTCAGACATAGTACTCGTAGGGGGTGACTTTAATGCTCAGATAGGTAGTTTAAACCAAACAGAAAGGCATTTAGGTGGATATTTTAGCATTCCGGCACAGCGAACAGATAATGGTGATCGTCTGCTGCAACTGTGCTCAGACAATCGCTTATTTTTAGCAAACACAAATTTTAAGCATAAGGAGAGACATCGTCTAACATGGCGACCCCCTACACCAAACCAACGATGGACTCAAATAGACCATATTGCCATCAGTCATCGTTGGAGAGGGTCGGTAGAAGATTGTCGCTCATTCTGGAGTACCTGCTTGGACTCCGACCATGCCCTAATACGGGCACGCATCTGCTTGCGCCTCACTGGACGCAAAAAAGCCACATTAAAAAGACCCATTAGAACTGAGTTGAGTAACGAGAAAACCAAAAGTAGGTTCCAGGAACAACTGAGGTCACACTTAGGTAGTTCTGAAGACGAGGCTGACCCAGATGTTGCTTGGAAAGATACAAGCAGCTGTGGAAACAGCAGTGACATCTATTAGCGACTTAAACCACAGAGTTACAAAGAACCAGTGGATTTCTTCAAAGTCTATCACACTGATGGATTCTCGCAAACTCGTCCCATCAGGTTCCGAACATGATGAAGAGCGACAACAAATCAGATCTAGGTTAAGAAAAAGTCTAAGGAACGACCGTGAGCAGTGGTGGGCAACGAAAGCAAAAGAGATGGAAAAGGCGGCGACTATAGGGAACACAAGACAGCTTTACAGACTAATAAAAGAAACTGGAATTAATAAGTCAAGTGTAAGTGAGATTATTTCGGAAAAAGCGATACTCTCATCTGCTCCCAGTCCAGACGTTTAGAACGATGGGCGGAACATTTCAGAGAACAGTTCAGCTGGCCTTCAGCTACTCTACAACTACCCTCCATTCCCAGACAGTGTGAATGGAACATTGAAGTAGGTCCCCCAACTCTTGCTGAAGTTCAAAAGGCTATAGTTAATCTGAAACGAGGAAGGGCAGCTGGTCCAGATGGACTGGCTCCAGAAGTCTTTAAGGATGGTGGTCCAATTTTAGCGATTAGGTTGACTAATATTTTAGCTAAGATCTGGGAGTTAGACGTTATCCCATCTGACTGGTCGCAATCACTTATCGTCCCAATATATAAGAAAGGGTCAAAATCATCCTGTGACAACCACAGAGGGATTAGTTTAACTAATATAATATCTAAAATACTAGCCTCGATAATTATCAGACGCCTAACTAAGACTCGTGAACTGCAAACACGAGAGAACCAAGCTGGCTTTAGACCTGGTCGTGGCTGCATCGACCACATATTCACCATTCGTCAGATTCTAGAACACAGGCATACTTATCGGCGTCCGACAATGGTGGTCTTTCTTGACTTAAAAGCAGCATTTGACTCTGTAGACCGCGAGATTCTGTGGCAGTGTCTGTCATTGAAAGGCGTACCTCAGAAGTACATAAACCTTGTGAAGGCTCTTTACTCGAACACTACTAGTCGAGTCAGAGCTTATGGCGAACTGTCATCTACTTTTGCAACCTCAAGTGGTGTCCGTCAAGGCTGTCCACTTTCCCCATTTTTGTTTAACTTCATCATAGACCTACTGATGGAAATAACTTTCTCGTCGACTGAATTCTCGGGTATTGATCTCCATCCAGGAGGTCCACTTATCGACTTAGAATACGCAGATGACATAGTCCTGTTTGGTGAAGACGCTGACAAAATGCAGAGTCTTCTGGTAGCACTAAGCAACAATGCCAGAATGTTTGGAATGCGCTTCTCTCCCTCTAAATGCAAGTTGTTGCTTCAGGACTGGTCTGCGTCAACACCTGAACTAAGGATAGGGAGTGAAGTAGTCGAACGCGTTGACAACTTCACTTATCTTGGAAGTCTGATCAGCCCTAATGGGTTGGTGTCTGACGAAATCTCAGCACGGATTCGAAAAGCTCGTTTGGCTTTTGCCAACTTACGTCACCTTTGGCGAAGGCGAGATATCCGTCTATCAATAAAAGGACGAGTATACTGCGCGGCAGTCCGTTCTGTTTTAATTTACGGCAGCGAAACATGGCCATTAAGAGTAGAAGACACTCGTAAGCTACTAGTATTTGACCACAGATGCCTTAGAAATATTGCTGGCGTCTGCTGGGATCACCGGGTAAGTAATAGTGAGGTTAGACGCAGGGTATTAGGGAATGATGGTAAATCAGTTGATGAGGTTATGAATCTTCATCGACTGAGATGGTTGGGCCACGTGTTACGTATGCCTGAACACCGATTACCACGACGTGCAATGCTAACCGGTGTTGGAGATGGTTGGAAGAAAGTTAGGGGCGGCCAAACCAAAACGTGGCATCAGTGCTTGAAGTCACTAACTTCTAGTCTGAGCCATGTTGGTAGATGCAGACTACTTGGTTGGGGTCCGCGTGACTTTCGTAACCAATGGTTGGAGACTCTTGGTGACATGGCTCAGAATCGATCACAATGGCGTCGGTGTATACACTCTTGTCTTCCCTTAAACTAAGAGATTAAAATCACTTCATATCTTTCTTTCTACGAACCAATTCTTTCTTCTTGTACTATATCTCTATATGCAATCTTCCTCTTATTTATTACCACCTTTGACCTAACCACTGCTATGAATCCGGTGTTCATCTTGTTGTGCTGATGCGGTATGGCAACCTGGACCGATGCACATATGTGCCTGGTCCTACGTTGTAGCTGACTGACTGACTGACTGACTGACTGACTGACTGACTGACTGACTGAATACAATGGACAGGTTTGATGCAACTACACGATTCGGATTTCGCAGATGACCTGGCTCTTCTATGCCATACACACGAATAAGTGCAGACGAAGACAACCGGTGTAACAGCAGCTTCTACATCAGTAGGCCTCAACATACACAAGAGAAAAAAGCAATATCCGGAAATACAACACGGAGAACACCAACCCAATCACACTTGATGGAAGATGTGGAATCTTTCACGCACCTGGTCAGCACCATCGGTGAACGTGGAGGATCCGATGCAGACGAGAAAGTGAGGATTGACAAAGCAAGAACAGCATTCCTACAATTGAAGAACATATAGAGCTCAAAACAACTGTCAGCTAATATCAATGTAATGGTCTTCAATGCAAATGTCAAGACAGTTTTGCTATACGGAGCTGGAAGTTTGAGAACAACTTCAACGATCACCAAAATGATACAAGTATTTATAGATAGTTGTCTATTCAGGACACTCAATGTCCGTTGACCGGATCGGATACCATCAGCAACAGCCTACTGTGGTGTGGAAGAGGACGAACCAGCTTCAATCTGAAGAGGAAATTATGAAACGAAGCCAGAGATGGATAGTACATACACTGAGGAAATCACCAAACTGCATCACAAGGCAAGCCCCAACTCGGAATCCTGAAGGGAAAGAGGAAATAGGGAGACCAAGGAACACATTGAGTCGAGCATTGGAAGTAGACATCAAAGGGATGAATAGTAACTGGAAAGGATTGCCCAGGACAGAGTTGGATGGAGAGTATTGGTGGGTGACCCGTGCTCCTCCACGAGGGGTTACAAGCATAAGTAAGTAAGTAAGGTTTATTGTCAAAAGTACGTATACTTAATATAAATAAAGGCAATTATGTTAATCTATCGCAACATAGGATCTGGCATGAACGACTAAGGATTCACATCAAACCTCGAATTATTACGATTAGAAGAATGGTAGTGGTATCCAGCTCAGAGAACAAGACTCCATCAAAATCATTCATGTGAGCTACAAATCTTCTTCACCATCTCAAAAAGGTATTATTAAGTGTTTACTCTAACGGAAACAGTAAAAAAGGAATAACGGGAGATTGGAAAGTACGTAATAAAAATATATTTAAGATCTGGAAGACAATAGATGACCAATTACTGTCGACTTGGGGCCATTTCATTCGACGTATCCATTTGAATACTGAGATTATTCTATGGATCCCCAACAAGGACATTTTCATTAAGTAATATTGATCAGTATAAATGTCAATAAATTCGTAAATCGATGCCATGTTATGACATGTCTGACTTCATTTTTATACAACACACTGTTATCTCAAACAGCAATGTGCATTGTTGTAAGGTGTAGGTGGAAATACATACCATATGCCCAAGACACCTCAGGATCATCAACCCACTTTTCATACTTATTTAATACACCATACTTAATTCTAATACCAATCACTCATTTATCCTATAATACACAACTAACGCTTCGAAGACATTTATGATTAAGTACTAGTGTAGTGAACAAGAATTCGAGTGGGAACAATCGAAATTATTGGAGTACAAAATTACAGAGCATCTCACTAAAAAATGAGAACCATATAGTAAATCGTTAATCTGCAAAATATCAATCCATCATCTCAAACTTGACTGTTCCTGTTGTGAACCTCAATCCATTGTATCAGATTTCATTGTTCATGCGTTTTCATACCAATTGCGTTCCGTTCCTGTTCTTTCCTCATCGACCTTCTAGTGAAATACATTCTATGCCTGACCACCGTTATATACTACTTGTGTGGATATAAGTAACCCACACCACACTAGTAACTTCATATATCAGAGTCACATAGCAAGAAATAGAGGACTTCAGCGAAGGACACCGAGTGAGATAGTTAAACACCACAAGCTAACACTATTTGAGTAGAGCCTTTGTCATATTAATTTATATGCTTGACAAGTGCCAAAAGATCTTTCGGTCAAATAAGTTAATTGCAACCCTCAATTTAAGAAATATGGCTAACGTCGAGTATTGCTAAGCATCTCAGTCCTTCAAAGTCCATCGAAGTGTACACATTAGGTCAACTGTCTAATTTTTAGGATTCTCCGTACTAGCATCCGATTATTATGGAAGTTGGTCTTCATGTTTTAAATCAAATTCAAAACTACTGAAAAAATACGTTATTTATATTGGAGTTGTAGAAAAACTGTAAGTTGGAAAACATGTGACGTTGATCAACTAAGTTGTTTACTGAGTAAAAATTAATTTTAAATTATTAAAGATTTATAAATCATAAGGTTGGAAATTCCCGACCGTTGTTGCTACCTTGACGTGGTAGTCGGGCTTGCCTATCGTGATGAAGCAACCGAGCTATACTGGCTGGAACAACCGTTCCTCAAGGTTCTACCATGTCAGACAGGTCGGTTGAAGGGCGGTAAGACTAAAGCAACAAACCCTAGGTCCGAAGGCGAAGTTGTACTGCTGACTGTACAGAGGTGTGACAGCAGTAAGGTGTTTCCTTCAGACAACCAGCATGACAGCGATGCTGTCTTCCCACAAGGAGGGGTGGGGTTAGAAAAGGTCGACCCTACAAATGCACACCTCGCCTTATCCACGGATATCCGTCTCCGGCGGTAAGGTCTCAACAAGTACGGAGCTAACACAAAAATTAACCATAAAAAGGTCGTGTGTGACCGACCCCAAGCAGTTGTCTCTTGGGCACTGCGGTCACGCTCTCAGGTCACTAAGACCACCTCTAATCCAATTTCCTTTTTAGGTACTTCCAGAACAACCCTTCCACGGTGCGGGCAACCGGGAAGTGACAACCGCCCTCATACCTCTAACAACACTCAAGACTGACTGACTGAAGGTTGGAAATTAAATTGCAGAAAGGAATATATAGACAGGACCTACCAATATCAGCAAATAACGTTCGAGAATTGAATGATTCCTTATCCAATCCCTCATATTTTTCCCAATATTCTCTAAGCTGATCTTGACTTCCCTGCATCGGAAAACAGTAGTGACTCACTTTAATCACCATATTAGCAGTAGTTAGGGTCATTATAAATTCAGTTGAGTAATATGAAAATGAACTAAAATCTGAAGATTTCTGAATCTTAAGTTAATATAAACACTTGAAAACCCTAAAATTTGCAATATATAAATCAATTAAATTGACTGCTTATATATATATCAGAACCCTCTAGCTTAAGAAAGATTAAGCAAATCAATCATTAAACTCTCTGAGAGCTTATTAAATAAAGGTTACCATAAAAATATCCACAAAATTCTTGTTTTAATACGAGTGATCATGCAAAACCACAACTCATGTATCTGACACATGGAATCGAAGATTACATACTCTGAATTTCTTGTCACTTTTCCTTAATATAAATCGGTTTTTAAATTGCGTCAAGCGACATAGGTATGTGAATTTAAAAATTGCTAAATACACTATTAAAATTAATAATAACATTAGTGTATGAGTCCGTCTCTATTTTCTCATTGTTAATATATACGACCGCATTTGGTCGGTTTCGGTTGACCGAGCAGATGTTTCAGCATTGTTACAAGATCCTAAATTGATCAAACGCCGTCCTGAATACTAGAAACAGGTAAATATACAACCCCTTACAAATAACATTACACTTATGGAACGAGTTACTAGTTATTTGGACTTGAAGGCTTTGTGGATTAAGCGTTAGCGTTTGAAGCTCTAGGCACTGGATTCGAATTTCTGTGTGAAAATCAAAATGAGAATCCAGGTGCTTTTTACTGACGAGTCTCAAGTAGAACACAGCGTGTCGTATGAACTCTACTGTAATCCAAAAATCTACCAAAAATATGACTTCATGTTTGCAAAAAGTAAGGGAGTTATTATTTCGGTGATTAAAAGTTTCAAGTAGTAAAGTTGAAGTAATGGCTGATTATATGGATATATGTGATGAAGAATGAGTTTTCAGCAGTTCCACAAAAAAGCCTTATATCAAGTTATTCAAAACTAAGTATTTTATGTAAAAAGAAACTATACATAAATACTGTAATATCTTCATTTAAAAGTACACAAAAGATTATAATAATGTAAAACTAGACTTACTGGTTGGTAAATTCTAGGATGACTCTTGTGTTTTTCAGCCTGTTCTTTCAGACTCTTAAGCATCCTAGCACGCTCTTCTTCTGTGAATTTACTGAATTTCCGTACCATATCACTTTTTTCTTTAGCTACATGCTCTTGGTACTTCTTTTCCTGATCAGTATCTAGTTTTTTCAACTGATCGACAACCTGGAAATGAAATGACAAAATTCATCATTATGCCAGTGATATATTGCGATAAGTGGTAGAATTTCAGACATAATTGGTAAACGAAAACTCAGAAGTGAGAGTAATATCTATAGCTCACCTTACATTTTAGCGACTAGATGCAGAATATATAAGGCTGTTAATCGAACCTTTTGTGTAACGGTTAAGATAGTTATCAATCTTTAACATATGTGTCTAACGTTCGATTTGCAAACCAAAGTACCATAGTGCCATGAATACAAGTTTGAAATCCGAGTCAACAGTTACTATGGATGTCGATATAAATAAAGTGTACATAAGTAATCAGACGCCAGATCTTTTCAAATATAAAAGCCTCTACATAAATGAAAACGAATTTGAATATCTTAAAGGTTGCCAAGTAATTCATTTCAACTAGAACTCAGACTGTTTTGTCAAAACATAGTTGAACGGCTTGACATAATGTGGTTTAACTTAATACCTACCTGTATACTGTTTTTACTTAACTGAGTGTAGGTGATCTGAAACAACAGTTAATGAACGAAACTAATAATTAACAATGACATGAGATGATTAAATGATAGTCTGGTACAGAAGGTCTATTCCACACTACATGAATCATAGCAGCAATCAGTGAAATTATGAACTTCCACCGTATTTTGAGGTAACCCATTTTTTACAGACACGATCAAGACTTCAGCGACATACAAACAAATACCTGTCCTCCAGTTAAATCTTTTATGTTCAACGACTATGTTTCATTCAGGAATGATGTATGGCATACCTGCCGTCTGATACACAGATGGAGACTGGGTGAGTAATAAGTGGTATAAGTCTGGAAATGTCATGTAGTTCCTCTGTACTTGTTGTGGAATTCGGTCGAAGACAATTCAATCAATGTCGAATCAGCTTTCAAGCTAAACAACTCCATTCCTTATATTAGATGTCAGTGGAAATCTATCCTTGAACATAATCAAATATTTAGTAGATATAAAACATTTCCTGTATACATTCAGATTTTTAAGATATTCAAGGGAACATGGATTTTGTTAACATGTTCGCTTAGAAACTATTTAGTCTTTTAAATTAAAATAATATATTTGTAATATCCCAATGAGTAGAAAAACTAGATTTTCTGACGTTTCGTGACTTAGTGTAAGTCACTTCTTTAAAGAATAAATAACCAAATTAAATTAACCTAAGTTTGTTACATGTTAAACAGACGATTAAATCAAAAACAACTGGTCGTCAGCAGAATTATATAAATTTTTAAAGTAGAACGTAAATTATGGCAGTTATGCTAGAATCGAATCTGTTAGACGAGTAGAAAAGTGTATTGAACAAATTTACTTTCAAAAATGAAGTAATCTGAATACTTAGTGAACTTATTGGGAAAAACAATGTGAAAATACTTTATTTAGAATATAATATCTCAATAAATAAACGTTGGCAATCGATGTCAGATTTTAACTGACTGCTGATCTGTATTTTATGTAGCTGATAATTGCCTAGTTCAGTAAAATGGATGTGATAACTATTTAAATATACATAGACAAATATAAAAGACGTTAATTTTAAAAAATGAGCTAAATGTTAGAGTGAAACAACCACACATGGAACAATATAATGGTTACTTTTTCGGTGATTCCGTTTCATATCCCGGAATGCTATTGTAGACAATACCGCCCATTGTGTTAGGATGACTATCTGCTGCTTTCTTCAAATGAGCTTTTATAAGTTTTTCGACTAGATGACGTTTTGTTTCATCGTGTTTATCTCGTAAACTTGTATTCCAAAGTAGTAATAAATCATCTAAAGAAGACTACAATGAAGGAAACCAAGCGAATTTGTGTATGAAGTAAGAAAACTGATAACCTAATAATGCAATTATAATTAATAAGTAAAGTAATAGAACTTACAATAGATAAAGATTTAATTTATATAACTCCAGAAGCAAACAAATAATTATGTGGTCCGTTTAGAATCACATTTATGAGACTTAGAGATACTATCTAACTGTCCAAACAGAAATATGTAGAGGCACCAACAACAATTAGCAAACAAGCACTTTAAAGACTGAGTCATAACTTCAAAAGACAAGACAAAATCTATCATCAACTTCAGATAACCACCATTAAATTTTTTTTAAAAATTGACTGACAAAAATTCGTGTCAGAAAATGTGAGGTCAAACAATGAAAGAACACATACTGACATCTACTTACGAATGAATAAATCGGTCACTCTGTTATAATCGAAGTAGAGTCAAGTATATATGTACTTAAGACCAGGTTGACATTACAAATCAGCACAATCAGATGAAGGCAACAAAATGACTAGCGAAGGAGACAAAATAATGTTGTAGCAATGAGGATGAGAATATACTGAGAGAAGACAACGAGGAGAGATATGTATGAAGGACTCGAGATATACAAGAAAATAGTGACAAATATTAACACAGAACCTCTCAATCTACGGAATCATGTGCCGAGTTAAGACCAAGAAATATAACTACAGTAGCGCTTCCGTGAATAAACCTATAATGCAAGGACTGAAAAAGAATGAACAATTGATTAATACATCCATCACCAAGTCTGAAAGAAGTAGTGTCTTCGAATCAACTGCTTCTGAGCTCCAGATAAGCATCTGATCATAGAAGCTGTGAAAAATAGTGAGTAGGTGCACACCATTAAGATATTGATCCAACTATTTAGAGGCTAAGCCCTTGTTCATGATCCGAAAGGCCCTGGGTTCCATCCCCGGTAGGGTCGTGGATTTACACCTTTGAGAAGTCGCTTACAGTGGCTAAACACTTTACTTATAAACTTAAACGAACAAAACCAATCAGATGAGATCAGATTCAGCTCTTGAATTCTAGCCAGTATTTAAAAACACCTAACTGCTATGACCGAACCAACACTCCTAAAGATTTTTGAAGCCAATTTCTCAGGACCTGCTGCTTTCTCTTGTTCCAAGTTATATATGGCCTTTCCAACCACGGGAAATCTGGGGATATATGCAAGCAGTTTTCACTTTTTGGTTACTCACACCATAAAAGTATATTTTTTCTTATGGTACATGAGAAGGAAATCGGAATGGTAATGGTAGAATCTCAAGGAATAAGCGTCCCAGTCTACGTGGTTCTGTTAAGTCGTCACGATATCCTTACCACCATGTCCAGAAAACAGTTACGGAAGGGCTTTTTATCAGTACGTTCTCTTTAGTGTACTGCAAGTAAATGTGGAAAACTTTGTATCAACTACTGAATGTAGACGAAAAAGTATATTTTGAGAACGTTCTTCTCCTCTTTAACAAGTATTTCCCACTTTTTCATTTGAACAGACAAACTTTGGTACAAGGAGGCAAAAATATATGCGCAATATAATGAAAATGAGGTTGTGAAGAGATAAAGTGAGTATAGGAAAAAAGAGAAACAGCGATGAATAGAAATTAATGTATGAAAGTGAAACAATAATAATAAACATAAAAATAATAATAATGGAAGGAGTAGTTCATTCAGGAAAAGTGCAACCAGAAAGAATTCTTCTGGTTAAATAAGTTACACTTGCTTTTGTGATATTAAGGGAGTTACAGCACGATCCTAACTAGCTTCTATCTTGAGACATATCTGATAACATCTCGAGCCACTGTGTTGCACCATCTTTAAGACCGCAACCAGGGAGACGTAAAGCACCAACAGAAGCCAGTTCTGAACGGCTATCTTTCACCACGACACAGTCAGTCAGCTACAACGTAGGACCACGACACAGTATCATGCTCTGACCACCTTTGTTTTTTCCAGCCAGTCCCAGAGTCGGCAAATAATGTAAGAAATAGAATTCGCTAGGACGACATTCATAGGACATAACCAAGCTACTGAAGTCAGTGTTTCAAGATGGTAATACAAACTGAATTGTCGTCACTGTGCCCGAATACACGATACTGAACCTCTGCATTACTAAAATGGTATTGCCACTTGATGTCAGCAATCCTTCGGAGACAACGATGATCGAACACAGAGAGTTGTCTAACATCCTCAACTCGGAGAGGCCAGGTTTCACAGGCATAGAGCAAAACTACTCTCACCGACGCGTTGTAGATCCGACCTTTTACAGCCAGACTAACATCACGAAGGCGCCAATGATGGCCGCTCTGGCTCTCACTATACGTGCATTGATCTCACCATTCACGCCCCCACCAGCACTTATGCAGCTGCCCAGACACACGAACTTCTCTATTACTTCTATCTGCTCACCATCCAGGGTGAGTACAGGATTAGAATTCTGCCAGTCTTGTAGAAATACTTTGCACTTCGAAGGTGCAAAGCACATACCGTACCTACGGACACTGATTGCCAACTGATTAAGTGCGGATTGCATGGCTTGGGCATTATCGCACAGTAAGACAATATCATCCGCATACTCAAGGTCGAGAGGTCTTTCTCCAGGCGACAGATCCACACCACCATCACTTACATCTATCAGATTTTTTATTTGAACACATAGATATTAGTACAAAGAGGCACCAAAAACATATGCGCCACACAAATCTCATTTGATTTGTGTGAGGGCTGTGATATTGCCAGGGTGCCCAAACCGAAGCAGGTGGTTTTCTTAGGGGGCCACACCCGAGCCTTCGGCCTAAAGGTCTGATCCACAGGGCAATAGAGCATCGTAAGGAAATGTGGTCCCATGGTAGCCGGTGACCAACGATTGGTTCATATGCCATTTGTTCCTTCAGGATACTGGAGCCCATGTATGCCATTGGTTTGGAATCCGGTTAAAGCGCCGGACATTCGCTTTTCGTCCTTTCAATTTCGTAAACAACACCCCGGCCACAAGAAGGCAGTGAGTAGGACTTCGGTGGCAGAGGCTATATACGCGTGGCCATGTGAGAGCGTTTCGAGAGAGAGAGAGCGGACTCACCCCACTCTCTGCCGTATCAAGGCATTTGGGGGCTGTTACCAGAACGTCATCGATAGCAAAGTTGAAGAGGAATGGTGAGATTGGGCAACCCTGTCTAACCCCACTGCCTGAATGGAACAATAGAGAGAGGTGGTTGAATGCCCTTACTATCTGAAGTGTTTGTATATAGGACTCTTAAGATATTAATAAACTTCTCAGGTACATTCTTCTTCAACAGACAATCCCATAGAACAGTCCTGTTCAACTAATCGAAGGCAGCCCTGATATCAAGAAACACTCCTGTTAGCACTACAATATCTGTCGAATTCACTTTCGGTAGAAGAACAGACAAGTGGTGATAAAACTCATCATTGACAGCATCCGAGGTGCGATCTGTCGGGGTGTAGGGGGAAATGATGTAAAGACATCGTTTCTCCCAAATATCATGTGGATCAAACTGGTTGACATGTAGAGACAAAATTTAAGACAGTGAAAAGATGTATATCGTTAGTGACGGGACCATAAACGCACAGGAGCGGACAAGAGGGAGATAAATCAGCTCCCTCCCTCGAAGTACACTCTCATGGTTACCCACATAGTCTCTGGGACGGAATTCCTACTCATCGCCTTAACATAGCGTGCTTTTACGAAAGTAAGAGTATAAAATATGGACGCTCGGCGCCAGTTGCCTTGTGGACGATGTCAGAGACTCAGGAATTAGTCCACTAAGGAAGATACCTATTTCAGCTTTAGCATTCGGAGGTTGTCCCAGCAAACATATATAAAAACGAATATTGATAAGATTAAGATTCACTTAACCCACAAATTACCATGCAAAAACTTTGAAAAACATGACTATTTCATCATAAACAAACGTTTAACGTCATATTGTTTATACGCTTTCTCATACTAATTTCGATCATAAACTCAGCAGATGATCTTTACTACATTCGTATAGATGGTCTTAGATCGCTGTATGATAGATAAAAAATAGTTTTCAAAATGGCAACATAGCAGTTATATATGTTGACTGGTAACTAGCATACTAATCAATATACTTAGCTATTTCATCGATATGAGTATTACAGTACAATAATCATGTGAAAAGTATGAAGATAGAATTTAATATAAAAGTGTAGATTATTAACTCGGTAGGAAAGTTTACTTCACACGCCAGCATAATACATTATTACGTGTCGGTAGATGTCAAACACCGTTGAGTTATACAAGTCATACAAGCATCTAAATGTTTTGGATGAAACAGAAAAACAAACGCTTGACAATATATATATATATATATATATATATATATATATATATAGGTTTTCTGGTTATGTTTAGGAAAAATCATGATATCCAGCACCAGGAAAGACAAAACCGAGCTTTTTGTCGAAAATAACTTACATTTTCTCCAAAAACTTTTCGAGCCGAAGCCAATGTTTGAGGATCCACGTTTATTGCTTTTGGTGCCTCTTCTAAATATTTCTTGTATTGAGCAGCTTCCTCAGTCTAAAGTTATAAAGGTTAAAACAACTCTTTGTAAACGATACATCGCCTAAAAACACACCTTTAGAGCATACTACAATGTAGAAGCATATTCATGTTAAAATAAATCAGAAACAAACGCAGTAACCAGGACAGGATTATGCACACAAGTGACTCAAGGTACGAGATGCTTAGTAATCTTTACAGATAAATTTTTGTTTCCGAAATAGAGTAAAAATATCCAAAATTAAATACTCTACTTATAAGGTCCTTTACAAAGTGATGTTCAGAGATAATACTATAAATTTATTATATTGAACCAGATTAAATTCTAAACAACCCCGTATTAATACATAGCGTTCGGAAATTTTACGAGTGCTTTTTTAACATTTACGAACATAATGTATACACAAAAAGCAAGGTTACTACTGTAGCTTCTGTTCATAAGTACGTTAAGGAATATTCGGAAATGCAAAAAAGTAATATTTGCATCCAGAGTATTTTGAAATTACCTTTTAACTGATTAGTATTATGAAAATTATAAATATCAGTTTCTGTGCTTACTAAAAACACCATAAGAGAATTCTTATCAATTCAGATGTGGGATATAATTTTCTGTAATGTCCCATGCACTGACTTTAGTTGTATATTAATTAATAAGAAAACCTGATTCATAAATTAATCAGTTATAGACCAGCAATCTTCAACACTGTTCAAATAAGCTCGAAGTTGTATCATGCCCTGTTCATTAGATATGTCAGAAGTACGGTAGTAAGTGATATTTGAAATACTCTGGTGGAGCCGGAGTTAATTGATGATTCATGGAATATTGCAAAATAATTCCAAAGGCAAAAATATTTATAGTCGTCAACCTATAGTCACAACGACAGGATTTCAGTATGTTTCTTATCAAATCAATACAGAAAAAAACTTACTACGAGTTACAAATAACTTTGGTGGGAGATTAAATTTGACTTCAGGTTCCGAATATCAGTTTACAGGTTGTTTTCATAATCTCTTTCGTGTGTGGTGCTGGAAATATCTGCCAACTTGACATGATAATCGGGTTTGCATATCATGATGACTCATCGAGCACTATTAGCTCGGATAATTGTTTTTCTATGTTCTGCCATGCTAGGCAGGGTTTTGGGAGAGTGGTAAAACTTAAATAATTAGACTCGTGGTTCGAGAGAAAGGTCGTACTGTCAACTGTATAGAGATGCAGCGGCAGTAAAGTGTTTCACTCAGGCAACCAGTATCTGCAGCGATGAGGCGTTTTCACAACGGAAGAGGGTTGTGGAAGATCAACTTTTAAATACTACACCTCACTTTGCTCCACGGATTTTTTCTCCGGTGATATGGGCCTAAAAACACGAGATCAACTGATCTAAAACTACTCCAAAAAGACCTATAGGCCACAGGTTCTTGTCCGCTGGGGACTGCAATGACGCTCCCAGGTCGTTACGACTATAACTTATCCAAATCACTTCTAAAGTACTTCAATTAGAACCATTTTTCACAGTGTGGACGACCGGGAAGCGATAATCAAACTCATAACTTTAACAACACACATCACCTCGTTCATAATCTGCTATATCCCGACGAAAATTATGAATGGAAACTCTTAAGAACTATTTATGGTCTAATACAATGCATATATTTTTATTGCATAATTATTAAGTAGTTAAACTACGCATATTCATATATTATTAGGACACAAGGCCAAAAATTATAACAATTGGCGACGGGGATAACATTATCAAACCATATCTTTATTGCTGAATTTTTTCCTATACCCACTATTAAACCTCATCTGTCTTCAACTACTCAGATATGTACCACCAGTGTTAAAAACGTGAATTCAAAAAATGCTATTCCAGGTTTCTTGAAATCATGCTTCAAGCTACATGTTGAAGCTTTTAATGTTCGAACCCTATGTCAATTATTACAACTTGACAACTTGAACCAATGTCAATTATTACACTAAGTATTACTAATTAGGACAAACGAATCTCGTGCTATCGATGTGCGCAGTGTTTCCGAAACACATACGGAAGCTTAATGTGGCCAATCATTTGAACTCATTTGGTCAGTATGGAGAGTTGACGCGATATGCCCTTCATGTATCTGAAGGCGCGATAGCAACTTCTTGTGGTTTTGATGTAAGCATAAAACTATATCAGAAACCAGGCTCTTCACACCCAGATTCCTATAGATGGTTCCTTATGCACCCTATATCTTATTGGAAAAGTGGGAACTTGGAGAGATGGGGACATACACAATTGTCATTTTATTGTCTCCCCATGCTCTTATTGACTGCAGGTCTGAAGTAGTAAGAGATGAGCTTTACAGGAAGACTACTGACCTTCAGAAAATCAGGGGCCCAGACGTTAAACCAAAAAACTTTCGTGGATGCTATAGTTTCCCAACTTGATGAACACATAACGGTGACCATCTGTTGCAATCACCCTCAGATTTTAGACATAAGGGAAGACACTGTTCACTTGGGGACTCCCACCGTCAACACAACGATAGACACAAATTGATCATATTGTCATCATCTTTGGAGAGGCTCAGTAGAAGGGTGTCGCTCATTTTGGGGTGTATAATCAAACTTATCATTGCTTAGTGAGAGTTCTGATTTCTACTTGTTTTACTGAACGTAAGAAGACTCCTTAGATATCAACTCTACGATGAAAAAGTCAAGGAGGCATTCAGGCGAGTTAGCTAAGCACAAAGTCGATCATAAAGAGGCAGCTCACTATACAAAACTTGAAATAATATTCAAATAGCTGCGAACACAGTAGAAGAATATACCAACAATTTAACTCAAAACGGTTTGGAGAGCCCAGTGGATTTCGGTGGTGTCGACTAAATTGACAGATGTTCGAAAACGAATTCCTTCAAGCTCGCGGAACAACAAAAAGCAGCGAAAATTCGTACGTAAACTGAAAAAATCCTAAGCAATCACCGTGAGCAGTGGTGGGTAATGGGAGCAGAAGGGATGGAAAAAGCAGTAGAGATATGTAACACTAAATAACTTATTTAGCTCATCAATGAAACAGGCATTATGAAAGCATCCATTAGTGAGACTATTTAGAGAAAAGATAGAGCTAATGTTTACTTTTAGTCCAGATTAGATGATGAGCAGAAAACGTTTAGGGACAGTTCGACTGGCTCCTAGCTGCCCTTCAGTTACTCTTTATTTCCAAATAACCTAGATGAAAAGTTAACAAGAATTCTCCAGCTCTTAGTGAGGTTTAAAAGGTAAGAGAAAGCAACATGTCCAAGTGGATTAGCCCCAAAGGCTTCAAGGGACGATGTTCCAGTTTTAGCTGCAAAACTGACTGAGATACAAGCTACAGTTTGGGAGCTAAATACGATTCCATTTGACTAGTTTTGTTACAGTTTATAAGAGAGGGCAGAAATTCTGTGACAACCACTGGTGGATCAGTTTGACAAATGCTATACCTGAGATACCTAAGACGCATTATGGGAATATGTAAATGATCTCCATATAATAACATTCTAAGGACAGGAAAGCGATTGTTTTTTGCTGCTATCACGACATTCGCTTTTAGCTTAACTAGCGTCATTGGTAGAACCACATAATTGTTAAGCGACAGTTTTCCGTTATAGGCACATCCGGTGATTTTCAAAACAGAATTTGACGACCCATATACTGACATGACGGCGGAAAAACTCAGTATGATAGACTTTATTCTGTAAATGATATTACAGATCTCGTAGACTGTATCCCTCATTGGGTTGCATATCATAGTCTTATGTGGAATCGACCAGATCGAAACATTTATGTTGATGTGTTTTATCGATTCGAGATGTAGTAGGATGTGCAGCAGGGATTTAGGTTGATCATGCATAACATGGAAGACGAAAACAGAAATTATGCCTTAAAAACATATCATAGATTGATGGCAGAAGGAATGGGTGCATTTTATCATCGTGGACTTAACTATTCCGTGTATCCTGGGATGCATTAAATGCTGAAACGTAGGTGAGAACTTGAAAACACAGAAGCACTTGTCAGGGTTTCCACAGTAGATTCGTATTACAACTTTCCACAGGAAGTGAGAACCAAATACTTGCAAAGTATATTTTTTCCCTATGAAGTTTGCTTGTCAAATGACAACTTATAAACGACTTTTGAGTAATACTTGTGTTTTCGGGAAGGTTTAACAACTTACTTAAAATTGAAATAGTTATAAATAGGTGTAAGCAATCGAAACTAGAATTTAGTCGTAAGTTGAGATTAAGAATCAAGATTGGTGTTTTCAGTACGAACTGACGTCATCTATGATACAGAAATGTAATCTAGCCATGTGAATGAGTGAACTGTGTCAAAACCCAAGATTCACAATCTTGGGTCTGACTGGTTTGTGTATAAATTAGTCTCACCGACTTACTAAATTCTTTTCGGAGTAACATGGAGAAGGAGACTGTCAGCCAACATATAATGCAGGCTTGCTACGTAAAGCCGCACGCAATTCCGTAAAAAGCTAATACACAAATCCTGAGTAATTACCAAGCATGAAGCCTAACACACACCACCGACTAGACCAAAGGAACAACACTTAAAAGTGGTGGCAGTATGAAGCAATAACAATCTGCTTATAGCTGTCAAAGCTCAAAAAACATTGAAGCGATAGCAAGAGTGTGTTATAAATCAGTTCAAATGTTATGATGAAATTCAATTACGACAGACAAAAGGTATGTGTGTTGATCTAAAGAACTCACATTGTCAAGAGTTGGTATGACAGGAACCGACACAATGCACTCGGTTGTGAGAAGAAATAGCGCAAAGATAATCTGAAGCTATTAATCTACAATGTTTACCCGAAACGTACCATTACAGAGAACAACCTCACAGTTCCAAGTACCGCCAATTAGGACCTCGAGTCCAATCAAATTGGTTTGATATAGAAAAACAATGATTTAAAACCCTGCAAAAAGATTTTATCGGAACAAATCACTTTCTGACACAAAAGACTCAACTCTCACAACCATTTATAAATAAACCCATAAACGCTTACTAGGCAACAGTATCACTGAAATAGATGCACAATGTCTCATATATATACTGGAGTAGAGTATACTGGTCATTCATCACAGTATCAATATGTATTATTTTATCCTTCCATCCGGGATTGACCATTTGGGAGGACGCGCTAAAAAGGTTAAAAACCCGAAGCAAATCATTCACATTTGAAGTTCCGTTTCTCTTACCTAGTAGTGATTTACTGAAATTGTCTACCAGAACATGTTATATCAGCATATTCTGTTTATTTATTCAAAGCGAGATTGAGTTTTGACGGAGCTACAGCTTGCATGGACCAATAAAGATTAATTTACCTCCTACCCTAACAAGAGTATAAGGGATAGTTTGAAGTGAGATATTTAATTTTAGGCTTAACAATCATTCAACAATATTGTATTCCATAAGGCAGACAGAACACTTTGTAACAAACATTGATTCTCAGTTTCAATAAAACTAAAGCAATATTGGTGACCGACGGTGTGGGAGATCGAGAGTATCAATAAAAGCTGCGTGAATGAGAGAATACATCCTAGCATAGCTCGGAATCAATGAAACCCATCGGACCCATACCGGAGAGTAAATGACACATTAGTTAAAAGGTTCTTCTGCCCTAATCATAAGATGAAAATACTTCGCACACGCACTGACGTAGTCCAGAGATGTACGAAATGCATTTAAAGAATGAGAGCATTATGAATCCAGAATATTCCGAGTCATTCACAATAAAGAAGGAGAGTACCACGATCAATGTTATCAAATGTAATTAGTCGACCAATAATATTAATGAATACTGAATTTCCAAGGGTTGCCAATCGATTATGGAAAATGAGCTCAGGGTCAAAGTCAGAATGGAAAACACTGGGTATGTGGGTATAATAGAATGACATAGATCAGAAGAAAAAAATAAAATTGAGATAAATCTGCAACAAAATGGTTTCAACGGATCACACCACGAAGAACCAGATTATATTCGCACCAATAAAAAATTAAAAACAACAGTAGAAGATGTGAGAACCAGGAGAGGAGCTGAAATGGCTTCATTTCACCATCTGGTTGCGGCCAAGTTGAAACTGAAGCTAAGGAAGCACTGGACAACTGGACAAACAGCAGTACAAAGGTTCAATACAACCTTCCTACGACATACTAACAAATGAAACGACTTGAAGACAACTCTCAACAACAGGTTCCAAGTCTTACAGGATCTACTGAAAGAAGAAGAAACTACTATGTAGGACAACTGGAAAGGTACCAAATAAGCATTAACTTCAACATCTCAGGAGGTTCTAGGCCGCAACAAGCATCATCATAAGGAATGGGTCCCCATCGAAACCCCATACAATATTCAAGAAAGGAAGAGTAGGAAAACGGCAATCAACAACAGCCGAACAAGGGTAGAGGAAGCCAAAGTACAATCTGGATACACAGAAGCAAACAAGCAAGTGAAGAGAAGCATTAGAACTGACAAGTAGAAATACGTGGAAGATCTGGCAACGACAGCGGAGAAAGCTTCAAGTGAAGGAAATATGAGACAACTATATGACACAACGAAGAAACTGGTAAGGAAATATAGTAAACTAGAGAGACCACTCAAGGACAAAGAAGGCAAGACAATCACCAAGATTCAAGAGTATAGGAACAGATGGGTGGAACTCTTGAATATACCAGCTCCACTCAGTCCACCGGACATCGAAGCAACACTCACAGACCTTTTTATAGAGGTCACTCCTCCAACGATCGAAGAAATCAGGATGGCCATCAGACAAATCAAGAGTGGGAAACAGCAGAACCTGACAACATACCAGCTGAAGCACTGAAGTCAAACACAGAAGTAGTTGCGAACATGCCTCACGTTCTATTCGGTAAGATTTAGGAGGACGGACAATTGCTGACGAACTGGAAAGAAGGACACCTCATCAAGATACCAAAGAAAGCAGATCTGAGCAAGTGTGAGGACTACAGAGGCATCACACTACTATCAATACCAGGAAAAGTTTCGAACACAGTGTTGCTGAACCGGATGAAAGACTCAATCGACGCACAACTTCGAGATCAACAGGCTGGGTTTCGCAAGGATCGGTCGTACACAAACTAAATCGCGACACTACGGATCATCGTTTAACAATCAGTTGAGTGGAACTCGTCATTATACATCAGCTTCCTTGATTATGAGAAGCATTTGACAGTGTGGATAGGAGAACACTGGAAACTTCTTCGACACTATAGTGTGAGTACCTGAGAAGATCGTCAACATCATCCGGAATTCATACGACGGACTACCCTGCAGAGTGGTGCATGGAGGACAGCCGACAGACGCATTCCAAGTGAGGACCGGAGTCAGACAAAGCTGCTTACTCTCCTCCTTCCTCTTTCTTCTAGTGGTCGACTGGATTATGAAGATCTCGACATCTGAGGGAAAGCACAGAAACCCGACACGTCGAAAATCTCCCACGAAAAGGCCGTGCGCGACCGGCCTCAAGCAGTTGTCCCTTGGGCACTGCGGTCACGCTCTCAGGTCACTGAGACCACCTCTAATCCAATTTCCTTTTCAGGTACCTCCAGAAGAACCCTTCCACGGTGTGGGCAACCGGGAAGTGATAACCGCCCTCATACCTCTAACAGCACCCAAGACCACTGTATTCATAATCAACCTTCCTCTTCAATTCCTATTATTCCTCCTACATCGACTTTCAACTCTAAACTTCCTCTTTCGGCTTCCTCCTCAAGTGTCACCATAGCCAACGATTCTAGTGCTCAAAACACTGTCCCAGGTCTACTGAAACCTCGCTCCAAACTACACATTGGAGCCTTCAACGTACGCACCCTATGTCAAATCGGTCAGCAGGCTTCCTTGGCTAAAACCCTAGAGTCTCTTTCCATTGATGTATGCTGTGTCTCCGAAACACGCATACAGGATTCCAGTGTGGTCATTCACCTGACCTCACCTCGGCAAAACGGAGAGCCAACGAGATACACCCTCCGTGTATCCGGTGACCCGATGGCCAGTTCTCGTGGACTGGCAGGTGTAGGCATAGCACTAAGCATGAGGGCCGAACAAGCACTGCTAGAGTGGATCCCCGTCAACAGTCGTCTATGTGCTGTTCGGCTAAACGGCTCCGTAAGAACTCGGAAGGATAGGGACACACGTCGTTGCCTTTTCGTCGTTTCTGCCTACGCTCCCACTGACTGCAGCTCAGATGATGTGAAAGATGAATTTTACAGAAAGCTGTCCGAACTTCTTCAGAAAGCTAAACGCTCAGACATAGTACTCGTAGGGGGTGACTTTAATGCTCAGATAGGTAGTTTAAACCAAACAGAAAGGCATTTAGGTGGATATTTTAGCATTCCGGCACAGCGAACAGATAATGGTGACCGTCTGCTGCAACTGTGCTCAGACAATCGCTTATTTTTAGCAAACACAAATTTTAAGCATAAGGAGAGACATCGTCTAACATGGCGACCCCCTACACCAAACCAACGATGGACTCAAATAGACCACATTGCCATCAGTCATCGTTGGAGAGGGTCGGTAGAAGATTGTCGCTCATTCTGGAGTACCTGCTTGGACTCCGACCATGCCCTAATACGGGCACGCATCTGCTTGCGCCTCACTGGACGCAAAAAAGCCACATTAAAAAGACCCATTAGAACTGAATTGAGTAACGAGAAAACCAAAAGTAGGTTCCAGGAACAACTGAGGTCACACTTAGGTAGTTCTGAAAACGAGGCTGACCCAGATGTTGCTTGGAAAGATACAAGCAGCTGTGGAAACAGCAGTGACATCTATTAGCGACTTAAACCACAGAGTTACAAAGAACCAGTGGATTTCTTCAAAGTCTATCACACTGATGGATTCTCGCAAACTCGTCCCATCAGGTTCCGAACATGATGAAGAGCGACAACAAATCAGATCTAGGTTAAGAAAAAGTCTAAGAAACGACCGTGAGCAGTGGTGGGCAACGAAAGCAAAAGAGATGGAAAAGGCGGCGACTATAGGGAACACAAGACAGCTTTACAGACTAATAAAAGAAACTGGAATTAATAAGTCAAGTGTAAGTGAGATTATATCGGAAAAAGGCGATACTCTCATCTGCTGCGTATATTTCTGCTAAAGTAAGCATACTATTGTCATTTGTATTCCATAGTCAGTTCACTTCCTGTACTTCTTTAAAATTTATTGATACTGATTTCTTAGATGTATTATTTACTATGAATATGACACACTACTATCGGTACCAAGAAAAGTTTCCAACACAGTGTTGCTGAACCGGATGAAAGACTCAATCGACGCACAACTTCGAGATCAACAGGCTGGGTTTCGCAAGGATCGGTCGTACACAAACTAAATCGCGACACTACGGATCATCGTTTAACAATCAGTTGAGTGGAACTCGTCATTATACATCAGCTTCCTTGATTATGAGAAGCATTTGACAGTGTGGATAGGAGAACACTGGAAACTTCTTCGACACTATAGTGTGAGTACCTGAGAAGATCGTCAACATCATCCGGAATTCATACGACGGACTACCCTGCAGAGTGGTGCATGGAGGACAGCCGACAGACGCATTCCAAGTGAGGACCGGAGTCAGACAAAGCTGCTTACTCTCCTCCTTCCTCTTTCTTCTAGTGGTCGACTGGATTATGAAGATCTCGACATCTGAGGGAAAGCACAGAATACAATGGACAGGTTTGATGCAACTACACGATTTGGATTTCGCAGATGACCTGGCTCTTCTATGCCATACACACGAATAAGTGCAGACGAAGACAACCGGTGTAACAGCAGCTTCTACATCAGTAGGCCTCAACATACACAAGAGAAAAAAGCAATATCCGGAAATACAACACGGAGAACACCAACCCAATCACACTTGATGGAAGATGTGGAATCTTTCACGCACCTGGTCAGCACCATCGGTGAACGTGGAGGATCCGATGCAGACGAGAAAGTGAGGATTGACAAAGCAAGAACAGCATTCCTACAATTGAAGAACATATAGAGCTCAAAACAACTGTCAGCTAATATCAATGTAATGGTCTTCAATGCAAATGTCAAGACAGTTTTGCTATACGGAGCTGGAAGTTTGAGAACAACTTCAACGATCACCAAAATGATACAAGTATTTATAGATAGTTGTCTATTCAGGACACTCAATGTCCGTTGACCGGATCGGATACCATCAGCAACAGCCTACTGTGGTGTGGAAGAGGACGAACCAGCTTCAATCTGAAGAGGAAATTATGAAACGAAGCCAGAGATGGATAGTACATACACTGAGGAAATCACCAAACTGCATCACAAGGCAAGCCCCAACTCGGAATCCTGAAGGGAAAGAGGAAATAGGGAGACCAAGGAACACATTGAGTCGAGCATTGGAAGTAGACATCAAAGGGATGAATAGTAACTGGAAAGGATTGCCCAGGACAGAGTTGGATGGAGAGTGTTGGTGGGCGACCCATGCTCCTCCACGAGGGGTTACAAGCGTATGTAAGTAAGTAAAAGTGAAATTAAATACTAAAAGCTACATTGTATTCAAAATACAGGTTATTAATTGCTTCTGAAAAAACAGTTATCTCTGTTACTGCTTGAGCTGAAATTCAAATTTAAGTGAGTACAGTAGCTGTTATACGTACTAAACAATCAGAATAATAAATTCATATCAGCGGTGAAACTGTAATTCATCGATAAATAATCCGGTTTATGATAGCGAGTCTTAGATTTCGGCGTGAACTGCATCCTTTCATTAAGCTAGATAACATTTCGGCATCCCAGTTGATGTCATTTCGTGATAAAAACCACAAATCTATTTCTTACATTAACCATTAACTGGAAATCTTAATTCTAATTCCCCACTCTGGTTTATGACCTTCATTTAGTCCTAGTTAGTGGGTGAACATTCTCGAGGTCACTTTAGCATCGCTCAAGGTCGTCCATAAATTGTAGTCTCATTGATGTAAATTATTCCAAGATGTTTACAATTGAGTGACCAGATAGTCGAAAAGACAACTGTACTCACTGACCACAATACACTTGAATGATTCGACAACATGGAGTTTATATATAAACTGGGTATACCCAGCCCCTCCGAGTACTATAGTACTAATTTTAGGCTTGTTGTGCTACTGGTTGTTTTTTCTTTGTTTTCTTTATTAGGATCAAGTGCATTTCATGCACTTACTGAGTCTTCGGTTTACTTTTCCTCCTGTTTTTCCAACTTTCAGCTATCCTCACGCATACAACTCTGCACTCCTATAGTACCTGAAGTACTACCAGGCTAGACGTGAACAGACACTTGACCAACTGCGTCGATGAAGGTCACTAAGCACTTATGGTATCATATCCAGTGTTGCTTGAAAGCAACTAGTCCCATGGTATGCCCGTCAGCGAAGTATGTTACAAGGATGTTGGAAATTAAAGACGTTGAGTTGTGGGAATTGATACGAAAAGAAAAAACTAGACAACGATCATCACTCGAATTAATTGCTTCGGAAGTATGTTCCTTGGCCCATCTGTATGCATTTTCAGAACTTTGTGTCACAAAGTATTCTTGAATGCCTTGGCTCATGTTTAACAAACAAATATTCAGAAGGATACCCCTTTGCGAGGTATGTTCGTCGAAAAATAATTTTAATATTGCTCTCATAAGAGCTCTCCGGCAATCTGACGTTGATACTGGAAGTGGGTAGGGCTATGTCAGGCTATCAAAAAGCTTAATGAGACTAACTATTATTCCCTCTACGTGTAGTCTGAGTTCATGGAGTTTCCGACTGCTAACCTCGACCGTTTAAGTGGGTAAAGCCTATTTTATTGAACCACTCGCGAACGCTGTACCAATCAATTAAGACTAAGTAATATGGTTTGAATTAAGTTGCAATGCACACATTACTTTTCGGAACCCCCAAACCACCATGTAATTATTTACCTATAATTTCTTCCAGATCTTATAATTATTGTACCAATTCTAAATTTAGGTCTCCTTTGTCTGTTTGTGAAGTGGCATCTTAAAATGTAGGTAATAAGGTGTAAACTAACATGATTTTATATTAAGTGTGTTCGTAAGCATTTCAGTCTTAATACTTAACCAGGCTATCGACTGTGGATAGCGAGATAATCAACGTTTTACCAAAAATATCATTCACTGAAGGTAAAGGAAGTAGGGTTCTGTATCAATGGGTGCTATAAATCCTTGGTTAAGACTTCAAGACGGTAGCTAATCAAGATGTATCTCATTTATTTAAGAACCTTGACACCAGTTGTCCAACTAAAGCTATCTGGAATTTGAGATGCTACTTTTTCAGACACTAAATCGTTATGTCCATAATTTCCACGCTCGTTAGAAACTCGTTCTCGGTACTTTAATTTTAAATGTCTTTTTCTCACTGTTTTTTGTGTGGTAACTGCTATGCCTTGACTGAATACTGTGTATATAGGTGGTGTTTTAATATCTGGAATAATTCCGTCTGTTTGTTCTGTATTTTGTTATTCATTTGCCACATGTTTTTTTGCGTGAGGAATTATGACACTTAGTAGTATTCAAACTAATGTGCTAACTAAGAATTTCCGAAATAGTGCAATTTAAGTCATGTAGAACTAAGTGAACACAAATTAACGTATTGTATTTGCGATTCGTAATCTGTGAGCCGTCAAGTACAAAGGAATCATTAGTTTGTACAAATACCACAGGAATCTATCTATCTCTTCACTGAAATGACTTTACGAATGGCTATATCTGTCTTCATTTAGCACCTTCGACATAATAAAAATTACAGTTAGTTAGATGGTGGTAATTGTAAGTAGGATTCCCAGATTATTATAGTGTCCTCAACAACAATAACATCCATTGTTTATCCATAACCTTTGGTGTTTATTCTCAGTAACCGTACTGATTGGATATTTTGGATAACTAAACTGGACCTAAGTTTGTTTCAGTCATTATCACAAACACTTCTATTTCCAAACCAATAAGTATATTTGACATGTTAGCCAGTTCTTGGACAATGCTTTAATGAATAGGTTTGTTTACTACCTAGTTGTTTATACCAACCAATCTCCTTCATGTGATGTCATTGTATTGTAATCTGAATAATCAATGTGTTTGTTTCATTAATCACATGTTTTTTAAAACCCACTCGTAGTATGACCAAAAAGTAAACGATTTGAGTCATTCACTGTTTGTTAACATCTTCGAAGTGGAAAGGAGTCTGAAAGTAGTTTGCTTAATTATTATCAACTTTAGGTTGTTTCCCCAAACACAATTACCTATAACTATTGTATTTAGGCACATTTTGACACCACTTTCTATATTCGCTGTTCATGTATGATTTTATAAAGAAGCAAATATTTTCACGAAACAATTGGGTGGACTCCAGATATATGGCAACTGGTTTCATCTTCGGTGTCTACATTAAAACAAAGAAGTTGATCATACTTATTTGTATTATTGGTTTAGTGTATATTAAAAGCTGTTGATGGAAATACTCGTAAATCGTTTAATCATGTTACTTATGGTGGTATTAATAGTTTCAGCTGCACCCATATCTTGAAAATAAAAAGCTCTGACATCAGAATTTTAGCTAAGTTTGGAACGGTTTGCTGACTAATTGCATTCCTATTATTGTAAATAGCTTTTTAGTATCAAACATAACTGCCACCTAATTTTGATTGTCTTGCGTTTCTTTTTTTCACCTCTGTCACGTGAAAAAATTATCTGTAATACTGTCATTCGTATTGGGGTTTTGATTTCAAACTACAGGTAAACATAATGAGCTTGTGGGTATCAATTCCAGGGTCGAACATGATAGTTCCAAGTAAATTTGTGACATCTTTATTGGTAGAAAGTTGCATTTCTGACGTCTCTTGACTTAATGTAAGTCAATTTTTATCTGCTCTGAAGAAGTGACTAACATTGAGTCACGAAACGTCAGAAATACTATTTTCTACTCAGTGGGATACTATATATATAGACAGGTAAACAATTCATTTGGCAAAATAAAAGTGCAATGTAGATACACATAATTGTTATTATGCTTCTGAAAACCTTAATTTGCAGATATTACGGAGGAAATGAAGTTATAGATGCTATTGAGACACTAGCGCAATCCAGATTATTAGATCTCTTCGGTCTCAGAACCCCTGGAGCAACACTTGGTGATGCTGAGTGGGGTGTTAATGTTCAGCCGTATAGTGGGTCCCCAGCGAATTTCGCTGTATATACCGGCCTACTTAATCCTCATGACAGGTTAATGGGTCTTCATTTACCTGATGGTGGTCACCTTACACATGGTTTCCAGACTTTGTCAAAAAGGATTAGTGCCACATCTATTTTTTTCGAATCTATCCCCTACCGTCTAAATGTAAGTTCCAGTATTTGTGTTTGCAGTTTAATTTCGCAACGGCTTTTAGCTTTTTATTGTGTACTCAGAATAGGTGATCATAATGTTCCTGTGTACATATTTTTTGGACTGTCCTAATCCTTATTGTATTTGTTCCAGGTTTTTCAGTCTTGTCTGAGCACTGTAGAAAATTTTTACCGATTAATAGAAATGTAATGCTTATGGATTTTACGATCTCTGCACGTCACAATATAAGCTACTAAGGTTTTTATAATATTCATATTTCAGGTCGCACATCTATTTATTGTTCCCATTTATCACATCACTACCCATTCTGGCACATACAATAAACGCCTTTCCTGTTAGATTGTAGATACAAAATAAATTTATGTATAAAGGTACAGTTGGGTATTTTCAACCGGATTTCAGTCACACTACCCGTTTACTGTCGATTTGAAAGCAATAGGTTTCAAAAGTTTGCGATACCTACTTGCTGGACCCATATATGTTCCCATTATCTGTCTGCTTTTCTTGGTCCATGCATTTTACCAAGTAAATAGAACTGTCACAGATTTCTGGAATTTTTGTATTTTTAGTTCCCATTATCAGTTCACTACATGATTTACGCTCAATGCAAATAGTGATTCGATTATTTGTTTACGTTGGTTTTGTGAACCCATGGTAACTACTAGTTGATTACTGAGTTGATAATTTGAATATTCAAGTGGTAAATGATATAGTATCCAAACGAGTCAGTAACCAAGTGAAAACTAAGATTTGGGTTCTTTGCCTAGCTAGCCATTACTTACTTGTATTTTTTGTAACGGGTGGATGTTTTAGTAATCCTGAAAACTTAAAAATAATTATTCCTCCATAAAATTGATTTTCATAGATATTTGGTGTCGTCTAGTTCTTGGTAGTCTACTCGAAATTTCGTTCCATCCTTTTCTTAAATGAAGTACTGCGTTGTCTTATTTTGTCGGATTTGTTTGTGTAAATTATCATTTAACTGTTATTTGTTTTCTTCATATTTCTCATTTTTAGAAGGAGACGGAACTGATCGATTATGATGCACTACAGCAAGATGCTCTCAATGTATTCCCAAAACTTATAATTGCTGGAATTACCGCCTATCCACGATTGCTGGATTACAAGCGTTTTCGTCAAGTAGGTTAATGAACCAACTTGGTTATCAAAAAACATATTATCGAACTGTTAATTTGCATTTTAGAATAGAAAGTAAAAGTTCATGGTGAGCGCTCAAAATAACGTTTCATTGTGATAGATTGAATGTAAAACAGCATATCTTAAGAATAAGCATAATAGTCGTGCATAATATTGTGATTGAGCTTACACTTTCCACTAAATAATGTTTATCGTATTTTCCAAAGTTCAGGCACACGAACATGAAATAGTATCGTTGAGAGTAAGAGAAATTTATACATTCTGTTGGTAATATTATTTAAGTACGAATCTCTTTAATTTGCTTCATGTTGTGTAAAAGAAAAGACGTAATGGTCAGAAGCAAAAGTCCAATATCATCTACAATATAAACTGCACCATCTGTGAGTATTGATATAAAAGACACCAATTCTCCATCAAAGTTCATAATTATAAATCTTTTATTTGACGAAATGATTGTCTGTGTATGAATCTGTATGTCGTAAAATGAGTTTAAGATTAGAAATTTCCTAAAGCGTTTCTAAAACCCTTGTATTCACGTCACTTGAGGATTTTTGTAGCAAATACTGGCTACCTGTTATGGCTGCGGAAAACTGATACTTTCTATTTGTTGCGACGGACCAAATAATCATACGGCTCTATTTTAGAAAGAAGGGAAGACTTCAGATGTGGATTTATTAATATTGTAAAATAAATCCGCAACAGATACAACTACTGATGGATTTAAATTAGTCAGTAGCTAAGTACATGTAAACAATTTACAAACTCGATTGATTTAACTTCATTAACCAACAATATAATAAATTACCGAGCTGGATATTTGGTTGTTCCTGATAGTAGCTAACACACACTGACAAAAACCCATGTTCATTAGACATTTTTTGTTTCTGTTTGTTTGTTTTGTGGTTTGGTTATTTTATTCATTTATTTATTCTAAGATATTTTATACTCCCCCCTATTACCTAATTCTTAAATAAATTTTATTCACACATTTCCACCACCTGATCCTCTTAAATGATCTTAACGTTCCAAACCCTATTTAATTATTATTACGTAATCTACCTAATCATTATTTAATTCCATTAATCTCTACAATTATCACACAATTTATGAACTTCACTAAATTATTACACCATCCACCCTGGATTAACCCCCTCTTTTGACCTTTGACCTGTTTCTAGCATATATATATAGTTATCATTGTAATCAAGTGATTTACACTCATTTATCTCAATTGTTTCACAATATCCATGTAAAAATTCTATCACAATTTTGGTATGTAAGCAGCTGACGAGAAACCTCGAAATAATATGAATTCATACTATTCTGCATCAATGTTTGTTCTTGCTCTATTTAAAGACATTTAAAGGAATTTTAAGTCACAGTCAAGTGCTGTTATGGTTTAGTATATTTATAGAACCACAATCCTACTCGACAAACCGAGTAATTAAGAAAAATAAATGGATGACATAGTTTAAAGACTGGGAATAAAAGTTGTACAAATCACACAATCAGTTATCTGTATACGGTACATAGGTTCGTCTGTATCAACAGCATGACATTAAAACGTATTATAATGGTTATTAGATTGTAGAGCCAAATGTATGTCGAATCGAAACATTTTTTAAGTATACTATTTATGTAATTTCAATGATGCGTGGTGTCAACATTGACTCAGTTTTTATTCGTGTTCCTAGATTTGTGATTCAGTTGGAGCTGTATTACTAGCTGATATGGCCCATATTTCAGGTCTAGTTGCTGCAAAAATTATTCCATCACCATTTGAATATGCTGATGTTGTGAGTTCTACAACACATAAAACTCTACGTGGACCGCGCTCTGGAGTCATTTTTTATCGCAAAAAAGAGAGATCTATGGAGAAACCTAAAGTAAACTGTTGCATTCCTGTTGATCAGTTAGAAACAAGAATAAATAATGCAGTTTTCCCTGGCCTTCAGGGCGGACCACATGAGAATGCAATTGCTGCTATTGCTGCTATGGCGTTTGAGGTACGTTATTTAGTGATACATAGCTTTTTGGGTAAATTTGTTTTTCTTTTCATTTCCCATAAATAGATGTACATGCTCATTTCCCAAACACCATGAGAATCAATACTGTTTAGACCAACACAATCAGCACTCCATGACTTGCGTGCATTTTCGGTATCCATAGTATTTTTCTTACATAAAGTTAATGCTACGTGACGAATGATAATAAACTGTCTATCTAGTCCTTTTAATGGTCAATAATAGTGTCATTATTTATAATTAAGCAATAATGAAGTTGATAACAGTTTAATTGTTAATGACGATTTAATTAGTAATTAAAATAATTCTCTGTGCACATTTACATTTGATCTAGGCAAGTAGACCTGAATTTCAAGATTATGCTCGTCAGGTTTTAGCGAATGCTCAAGCTTTGGCTAATGCTCTTACATCACTCGGTATCCGTCTTGTGACAGGTGGCACTGATGTCCATTTCATTCTTATTGATTTATCTAACTCACCTAGTAAACCAAAATTAGGTCGGGGCGATGGAGCACGAGTTCAAATGATTGGTGATCTTGTTGGTATTGTTCTAAACAAAAATACAGTTGTTGGTGATTCTAGTGCACAGCAACCATCTGGTTTGAGAATTGGTAAAGTTCTTAATTTTAGCTTCCTATTTACTTATACGTACAATAAATTATACTTTTTTATTCAACTCTAATGGTGGATATGTCGCTCAATTTCGTGGATTAGTTGAAGTTAGACATTAACACCGTTGGATGCCGGCTCAGTGGTCTAGTGGTTAGGTGCTCGCGCGCGAAACCAGTAGGTCCTGGGTTCGAATCTCGCGGGGGACGAGGTCGTGGGTGCGCACTACTGAGGAGTCCCACAATAGGACGGAACGGCCATCCAGTGCTTACAGGTTTTCCATGGTGGTCTAGCTTCAACTGACTCATGATCTTAACCATTGCAATTCTAATTTGGTAAAAGAATTCTTTGATCCTATTAATTCACTTAAATCATGTTGTCATATTATTTTAACTACGCTGGAATAATTAACGAAATAACCATGAACATTCTCATCTATGTACTAAAAGTTTGATTGAATTTATATAGTCTAATCAATTCCCTTTTTCAACGATTTGATAATTTCTTAAATGCAAAAACTTATACCTGAATTAGTCATGGAATTAAAGTTGGACGAGATTAAAAAGAATGAAGATGTTTCAGCGAAGAAAATTTTCTTCTCGATGATATTACTTTCCGAGGCTGTACAATCGTCCTTATAGGTAGCCCTTTGCATTTAGTAGTCTAGAACAAAATAAAGGCGTGTTACAAAATGATCAAAGATGGTCACACACTTATTCGAGTATCGGATGTAAAAGTTTATGGAAATGAAGTAACTAAAGATTATCAGATTTTAAGTATTGAATATAATGACTAATAAATGGAAGTGTATCATCTCAAAGTATTTGAAGTTATCGAAAGTTTTCAAACATTAAATAAAATTAGCGTTACATCATTTAGCCAAGCAGTCGAACATCATGAAATGAAGTTATGGAATAATTTCGGAAGTAACAGAAATTAATTATAAAATGAATGCAAAAGACAGTTGTTTACTTTACAATAGAGAAGGTAAAAAGGCTAATAATTATCACTTACGACTTGTAAGATTGCGAGAGGTTCTAGGGCTATCGAAGAATAAGGGATTTAGAACGACCCTTTTGTACACAGAGGTGGGGTTTAAGATATTAATTTGCTATAGCTTCAGCTGTGCACCCATTCTTCGTGCGAACCGTCTTCGAGCCAGTTTTTTCTTACATTGTAGATTTATTTATTTATTTTAACACATAGATATTGGTACAAGGAGGCACCAAATACATATGCGCCACACAAATCTCATTCCATATGTATGAGTGCTTTGATACTGCCCGGGTGCCCAAACCGAAGCAGGACATTGTAGATTATTTTAAACGACGACTCTCGTGATGGCATGTAATCCCAAATAGACCTAGAAAATACACGGACGATTGCATCATATCCCATTTACCAATTAACATGTTTGTGCGGACACACTTAGGGTGGAGTAATCGAACAGTGCAATCAAGGGTTATGGTACATGTGCCTAGATGGCTTCAAAACCATTTAGTGTCAAGTGGTCCGATCAACATTGGAGGTAGAAAACCATGTTCATCGATAGCAAAATACATAGTTGCAACGGGGCACAGAATTAACATCAGTACAGTTTTCAAAACGTTGTATAGAAATTGTCAAGGACGAACTCTTAGGTTCATAGAAGCCTTGACTATTCGTAAATTTAAATTCCACTTATGTGTACAAAAACTATTTGTCGTAACCTTGGATTTACATTGGTAATCCTTAAGTCATTTTATGGCCTAGGATAACACGACAGTTTCTTATTCTATCATTTAATTGACGTTTATTAATTTTCATATAAAAATGCCCTGACAGTCATGTGTGACCACATTATTGGAAATGTATAGCGCAAATACATCACATTTTTCAGATCAACTCCGTCTTCTAATTGCTTTATCGAAATGTAGGAAAGGGATTAATTGCTTAAAATTATCTTGATATTCACTTGCGAGTATATTTTCAAGTTATTTATTTGATCATGAAGATAAAAATACATATATGAGACCAAGGACCACAGAAGAATTCATTTGTTTACCGTATGAATTATCTATAGTCCTTAAAAATTTGGAAACAGATAAAATAAATGAATCTGTAACAAAACACTTGTCTATTAAAATATATTTGCGTTTATGTTTATGGTATGGTGTTTACTGAAGTCAGCAGGGATTAAGTCAAGTTAAATTGTTTTATCATGTGTAACGTGTCAGTTTAAGTTGTATTAGAGAGACTTAGTGTGTTTTAAATTGTGCACTCATTTACTAGGATTTATGTGAAGTTTTTCTGTAGTGACGATTCCTCAAGAAAACTAAATCGATAATGTTAAAGCCCTCGAACAAACGGATAACATAAAAATAAACAATAAAATATTTTTTTACAAATGTACACACTTAATTACAAAATATTTTGAGAGAAATAAAAACTATGCTAATCAATTTAAGCCACAGGTGTAAACTACTTTTCTTTGTTGTGAACTTACGAAGTGATAAAATCAATTTTGGCTACTACGCCTAATTCTTATCTATCATACCAGACATAGGTTGAAATAGGAGTCAATCATTAGTCTTGATCTCTCACTTATTTGTCATTAATTGTCAGGTTGTAACTTTTGTCCATTCAGGGTGTTGGAACTTGTTCATAAATGTGGGGAAACAACAGTCAATCTTTCTTTATGAGGCATGTTAGCTTTCGAGGTGTGAGTTTCCCACCTTGTTTCCCTCAAATACGATCTCCTTGACTATCTATTTTCAAAACTTACGAGCTCTTCTTTAGTTTTCGAAATTCATTCCACACAACGTTTAAACTTATTTGCTCTTACTGACAGCTATCTCTGTAATCTAGCATATACTGCATTTTATCCAACACACGTGACTTCATAAACATCGTTTAACTATTCATTTCTTGTTATTCTATTCTTGGCGTTAATACTGAACATAGTGTTTGAAAAGTCTTGAATATCAAATACAAAATAATGTAGTCGCTTACAATACTAAGAGTAATAAATGTTTTCTTTTATATAGAAATGACTAATTACATTCTAGAACGACAACTCATCCAGATCTATATTCAGACTGTAGTATTGTAAATAAAGCAGTCAACTTTCAACAGCGATTCAAATCCTGCTTCATTTTTACGGGTTTGGTCAGCTTAGTAATAAAAGTAACATTCGGAAAATTCATCTCGTAGCTATGTAGATAATTACGTTAATTAGTTACATGAGAATTCAACTTAGAATGTAAAATTGCTGTCGCTCGACATGTGCTAAGTAACACTAACGATTCTGTGTCCCACTGCAATATATATGTGGATGAAATGAGTAGATTTACTTGGGGTTGTGTTTATCATTCATATCTTTTTATATTTCATTTAATACCATGCGTTTATTGATATTATACCATGAAAATATTCAATTGATGAATTATTAATATTTAGTTTTGGTGTCAATATTCTAGTACGTCCTTTGAATTCATTGAAAATGGAGGTTGTTGGTAAACGTGTCGTATACATATGATACGTTTCATGATAGATATTTTTTAAAAATTTCGATTCTCTAGGTACTCCAGCGCTAACTACTCGTGGGTTTAAAGAAAAAGATTTTGAAAAAGTTGCTTCATTTATTGACGAATTACTTGACCTGACAGTTGTGGTCAAGTCTGTCTCAAGTAAGATTTCCTTTCTGAGTTACTCTTTATGATATAAATATGCCAGTGTTTGGCGAATCTCTAAAAGGATCTAGATGATCTGTGAAACTAGTCCTTCAAGTACAGGTATCCAAACTTCCTCCCATTTTATATAGCTTTGATTACTAATTCTTTTTCGAACCATTCTGATTATGTTTACTAGTTTTCAATACGTTAGTACGTGTTGTAAGTTGACCACATTTTTGTATGAAGCTGTCATATTTCATGTAGATACGTTCGTTTCATGATATCGTGACTTCAACTAGGTTTATTTATTTACGATAGGAATATGAATGAATCCGTTACTACAGGATCCATACAAATTCATCATAATTATCCTAAAACATAATTCTACCATCTACGCCTTAGAACAGCCACCAAAAGACTACTGCTCCTTTTGTTTTATGTACTTAAACTGTGATCCTATTTCGTTTCTATCATGACAGACCTCTTCAGGTACATTGGCTAGGTCTCAACTTCCCATCGGCTTCTGGCACACGATACCATTCTGAGTATTTTCCAAATAATGTAAACGTAGACTATCGAAGGGAACGATTATTGGTACGATATTCATTTATACATAGACTGAGATTAAACTAATATCACTATTTCATTTATCCTTTCTCAAGTATACATTTATTAAAGCTCGATTTTGATTACTACGATTCTGTGTGCATATTTCTTGTTTTTACTGTAATTTTATTTGTATGAAAAATATGGTTTATGGTACACAAATATGTACTATAATAAACATTCTTATGGTCAAGTTCTTTTCATGAATTAATAAATCTTTTTGTTGTTTCAGAAAATCTTAAATCTTTTCAACTTACGCTTCAAAAAGATGAGCTCATAAAATCCAAGATTGAGGATTTACGTCATCGTGTTGCTGATTTCGCGTCTAGCTTCCCAATTCCTGGAATGGAAGATATTTGAGCAAATCCATGTACAGATAATATCGATTTTCATCTGCTACTTCGTATTCCAAATATTAGTTTAATACTACTGCCCAAACTGTGATTAAATTTATTTATGTTCTGTGAACTTTTGTATCACTTGTGGTGTGGTAATTGTAATTTTCTTAAGCTTTTTTAAATTCCCAGTCTAATTTTATGACTACGTTTTTGTATAATCACCCAGAAAATAAGTTGTTTAGTTATATTGCACTATTTCGCTACTTTGTGTTATAGCTAACATAACTGTGACATCAGTAAGGGTGCTCATAACTTCATAGTATGCCGTCGTTTAGTTTGACGACCTTATAGATTTTTACTCATTCGGTTTCTTTGCGAAAATAGCAATCAAGCTTAGTCAGATAAGCACACCCTTCCAAGCCCCTTTGTATTTTGAAGAGAATCTAGTGTTACAAGACTCACTTTTAGTACTTATTGCCTCGGATAACCTTAAATTATTACCAGGTCTATAAAAATAACCTAATTCTGATACATAGCTTCTGAACTGTATAGATGCCTTTGGACGTATCGCCTCGTTCTCCTTTATTTTGAAAGTAATCTAAGGGATTTTGAAGATGCTGAAAGCCAAGTCAAGCCCCATTTGTGTTCTATCGAAATATAATGATTTCACTGATACAGTCGGAGTGAATGGTCGTAAATATAGCGTATTGTTTCCCATTCAGAAAAAATCACTGTCATATTTACACTTTTTATTCTTCCTTGTATCACTCATGTTAGCCCCTTAGTTATCACAAAGGGGTTATCACCTTTTTATTTTCCTCTTAAAGTCAATAAACAGCTTATCGGTTTCTCTGTATTGGAATCTCAAGAAGATAAACTGGATTTATTATTCCGGACTACTGAATATTCTTAATTGGGAAGCTTGCATCTTAAGTAGTGGCTTGAACGCAGCTCTAATGGCACTTTACATTGATTTCGAGTATTGCTTTGGTCAAATTGTTCCATGGTGCTTCTGTAAACCTATGCATAAACAAATCGATAAGAACCAAGCTACGCTACCTCAGCCCACTGTTCCATTAATCTGGTGACTTTTCAGCTCTAGTAACAATACACTAAGTTCATGAAAAATTCGCACCGATGAGACCGAACGTTTTACTAGAAAGGAGTGTGATGCTCCAACTAGTGGTGACAAAATCAGCTTAATTTACCGACTATTAAAAAACGACTAAATCCCCTAAAATATATATCCCTTCAACTTTTTCTTGATGAAGTATATTACAAAAAGTCGTTCCGAGGAACTTGAGTATATATTTCTTCATCCTTATGCAGTGAACGGGGACAACCAACCAATCAATTGTATCAGACTTGATTGTTCCTTCGTTTCCACACCAATCACTCTTTCAGTCTTCAGTAATAAGGATAGTAGGTTGATGAACCTGTGTTAATCCTGACACATTGCTTTCCAGTGAAGGTCCAGCTTTTCCTTGGAAGTATTCACTGATGGGGCTGATACCACTTGTTCGGGTAAGGCGTTCCAATTATTGACTACTCGATGAGAAAAACGGGATCCCACTTTAAGTTTATTAGATCGTGGTTTATGAACAATCTTGCTATGAACTCGGATATTATTAGTGCTGGAGGGAGCAAAAAGATAAGACATATTAACACCCAAATCATAATTAAAGATACGAAATGCCAGTATGTGGTCACCTCGTGTCCTACGATACGACAAGGGGAAAAGATTTAGGCGTTTTAAGCGCTCATCGTAAGGGAGTCTAGAAAGACCCTTCACTAATTTCGTTCCCACACGCTCAAGGGCTAGCTGCTTGGATACAGTACTCTAAATGTGGTCTAACATATATGGGATATAAAATTCGAAACGTTTCCTCGTCAAAAGATTTGAACGCTCGGCGAAGTGACCATAACGCACGAAAACCTTTGACAGCGGCTGCTTTGCAATGCGCAGTTGTTTTTAAATCATGACTTAATATTACTCCTAAGTCCTTATGCTCTTGAACGCATGGAAGAGGTTTACCCTCAATAGTGTAACGGTAACTATTACCGTGACCGATGTGCATTAGTACACTCTTCCTAGCATTGATTTCTAAGCCCCACTCTCGAGCCCATCTAACTAAATCGTCTAAGTCAGCTTGAAGATCCACATGATCAGCCGCACTTTTTATTGTTCTCCAGATTTTTACATCATCCGCAAACAATAATGTCGACGACCTAAGTAACAGCGGTAACTCATTAACGTAGAGAAGGAAGAGCAGAGGGCCTAAGATGGTGCCTTGGGGTACACCACTTTTGACCGGCTTCCAATCGGATAGCGTTCCATTGACCCTAACTCTCTGTCTGCGGTCACATAAGAAATTTCCTATCCACTCATGTACAGTACCTATTATTCCGAAGCTCGTGAGCTTCTGCATAAGACCTACGTGTGAAACCTTGTCAAACGCTTTGCTAAAATCTATGAATATCACGTCGACAGACAGACCGTGATCTAGGGCTGCTGTCCAATCCTCCCTCGCAATAAGCAAGTTAGTCAAGCATGAACGCTTGTTACGAAATCCGTGTTGCTCAGGAGCTAACAGATTGTGTAAATCTATGTGGCTTAGCAACCTAACCCGAATTATCTTTTCGAGTAACTTAACGACTATGCTAGTTAGACTGACAGGCCGGTAGTTAGATACTATCTGTCGCTGACCGTCCTTAAATATAGGACTAACTATAGCGTCCTTCCAATCTCTAGGGAGTTGAGCGAGTGAGAGGGACATGTTGAAGAGTGTCGCAAGCGGTTTTGAAATAATGTCCGCAAGAGATGACAGCAACCGTGGATGTAACCCGTCAGGGCCCGGTATCTTACCAGGTTTGAGGTTAGTTATCAACGGAAGGACAGTTTCCTCAGTCACCTGTACAGATTCAATGGTTGGTATCTCGGTGTGAGTGGGACAAGTATTTGTTACAATAAACGTAGAGAAGACTTCGCTAAAATAGTCTGAAAAAGTCTCAGCTTTTGCTCGATCTGATTCAGCTAGTAATTCTGAATTTTCGTGTAACAGAAACGGGGGAATACCATCACTACGTTTCATTTGTTCTCGTTTTCCTAACCTGCCTCCATGTATTCCACTTTCGACTGGTGATACATACCACTTGTGTCTGTCAACATCAATAACACACAACATTTACACTGTTGACACTGTAGGTATCATTACCAAGGTTTGATTTAGTAATTTCGAATAAATTGAGCATTGGGTTGGTTGTTATAAATAACAATAATATATTTGTAATATCCCAATGAGTAGAAAATTAGATTTTCCGACGTTTCGTGACTTAGTGTAAGTCACTTTTTGGTTATTTATTCTCTGGCAATGATATAAATCCACTTGAATACTCTGGTAGATCTGGGGTCAACAGTATACTCTCGCATTTTCTTAAAACGGTCCTCGGAGTAACCCGCTCTCGTTATTACAAATCCGGCTCTAATTCATACGTGTCTGTATATCGTCCTACTAACATTATCTTCGTCATTTCATGCGCTTTGGTAATTATACTAGGAAATCAGAAAACTGCTTTTTTTTCTAGCTGAAGCGTTCATATTTACTGCTAACCATGGTTTCGTAAAATCTCACCTTGAATTCTCCGACCACATAACCAAACACATAAATAACAGGCCTGTTATCTTTGTATTATACTGCGCAGAACATTCCTCATGGCCTCCTGTTTATGAAACTATAATCTTAGGATACAAATCCTACCATTACTCTGTCTTGATTCCCACTTTAACAGTCGAATCCATGTACTAAGCTCGTGTATTTCGGAATCTCTCTGTGTTATCAGTGGAGTCATTCTGGGTAGTATACGTGGTCCACGAATTTACTCAATTTTGTTAATGTGTATGATTCTATAAAGAACTGTAGACTTATCCTTCACGCTGATTACCTTAAAACTATACATGCTTCTCCAAGTTATGCGCAAACTGGGATGGAATATGAAAAGGAAGACATCTATCAATTTCATAACTGGTACCAGACCGGGAATATGAATCCTAATATATATATATATATATATATATATATATATATATATATATATATATATATATATATATATATGTATCAATCCATCAATGACATATATCTACAACATGACTCAGTAACAGATATTTTGTTACCAATAAAAGAGGTTATTGGTCAACAGACGTTCGACGATGACCTGTTAAGACAACTCTTCATGTCTAAGATTCTTCAGCAGGTGCAGGCAGTGCTTGTTGCATTTTAAAACAATTCAGTAGACGAGCTGGCTGTGTCTGTCGATAAAATTCTGGGTTTCATCAGAACTTCGAACGCCAAGGCTTTTCAGTCAAAGAAAAACCTCAAACCACATGAAATGACGTTACGTCAACTTTAGCCGGCGAACATAGCTGTCTGTTACACGTCCCTGCTGTGATTAAGAAAGTTCGCCACTTCGTCCACATCGGCTGAGAAGTTACTGTTCTTCCAGAGGAATCTGACGATTGAATGCAAGAAGCAGTTTTCAAATTACAGGTGGCAAAAGGGAAACAAATCGCCACGTATGGTAAGCGATATTTTTATCACAACGTGGGTTTACGCAAACCCATCCACTGAATTTTCGTTGTTGCTGATGTCTCTATGCCGATAATCGATATAGACCTGATAAATAATAATTTACTCATCAATATATGCCAACGGAGGTTAGTATACTGGATGTAAGATCTATTTTGAAGGTTCAAACCTTAGTTCAAATTCAACAGAAAATACTAATTGATCTGTTTATGTAGATTCTTTGCCGGTTATGGTTTATCCTCAGTCGCGGCAAGCCATACGATCAATCCATAATATCAACAAATCTCCGAAAATCACAAACCAAATTAGCCATGTGTAGCCAGTAATGTTATACATCACATCACGACTACGAGACTACTTGTGTTCCCGAAGGCGCACCGAATAGCTCTTGAAAAGCTGTGGTTGACTTAGAACGAATTTGACCATATGATAGACT